CACCTTCCTCACCCTCTGGCCACAGGAAGCATCACTTCAGCACTTGTTACAGAGCTGTACACATGGGCTGGGAATTTCAGTTTGCTCATTTTAATAGGAAATGCTGCTGAGCTCTTGTACAGTTCAGAACAACTATATCTGCAAATACACTCTGTGGGGAAAAAAACATTAGCAATGCATAGAAACAGCCTCCACTGAGGGCATCTTGCCTTCCTTAGGCTTGCCTAATTTATCTGTGTTCTGTTTACTACATCTCATTATATTTTTACAAAAGAAATTACATTTGCTTCATTCGACTTCAACTTTGCCCTTAAGTTCAAATATAATAAACTGTTGCTCTGGATTCATTTCTCACTGAATAACTATTCAAAGTTACTTACTTATTTTTCTTCATTCCAGAAAGAGCTATTCATGCATGGCCATGCTCAATTATGTTTATTTAGAAGGCAAATAAGAAGAAACAAAACAAAACCAAAACCCACAAACAAACAGGAAACAACAAAGACAATCACATCATACTAATGAATAGCTCATGTCTTTTGGAAAAAGCCACTTGCTCAGATCCACAGGACACTTGAAAGGAAGAGAAACATATCAATATGGTATCATTTTCAATTACTTAAGCTTTTTAATGGTTTAGATCTTGAGGTTTTGCATGATCTGCCACTGTTCCCTAAAAGATGTGTTTATTTCCCTCATGCCAGTAGATCCTAGGAGAATTAACAATTGGAAAAACTCAAAGGACAAAAGCAAAATTATATGACGATCCAAACTTTACATACCCTAAAGTACCTTCAGTGCACCAAAAAGGTGTGAAGGTAATAAGAGCTAGAAACAGGATTTCCAAACCACTCAGGAAAATCCCACCCAGTGTTTCTTAGCTTGAAATAAACTCATTAATTTGGGATGGGATTAATTCTACTTAAATTAGCCATCTGAAGATAAGTTGGCTAGGGCTGAGCTAGTCACTGCAGGATCGCCAGCATCAGTGGAAAGCAATGCACACCCCCAGGAGATGTGATGAATCACAGAAATGCAGTGATGCTTTTTTCCAGATCACCGTCCAACAATGTGCACTTCAGGAACCTCTGAGCCAGCATTTGCAGCTTTATGTTAAAGCCTGTCAAGGGCTCCATTGCAAAACTCCTCCCTCTGTTAAAACTGAGCACATTCTCCTGCACTTTCCTAGCTTTCAATGTGCTATTTACCTTCAGTAATCCCTTTCTTCTGATCCCATAAGTGCTCACTTTGAGAATTACTGATTTCTTTTGCAAAGCCATGTGGTCAATCTCAACCTTTGCCTGCATTAACTGATCCTTCCAAGGACTTTCAGGCAGCTTCTAAGGCATAACATCCCTGCAAAAGCTAAGCCAACTCTTCCATAGTATATTTATTCAGGCTTCCACTACTATCTCGCTTATTACGGCATCTATCATTTTTCCATGTCTAATATGAACAGCACTTTTCTTGAGTTTACCACTACATTTCTGGAAAATACATCCATTATATATTCGTTTATATATATATATATATATATATATATAAATAAATATATATATATATATATATATATATATATATAACGTATATATATAAATATATATATATATTTGCTTTTAGTCCTCTCATGCTCACACAAGACAAGAGGACTCCAAATAGCAGCTTAGCTACTTCAGTTTTTGGTGGACATTACCTAGTCTGAATTACCTTATTTTGTTGGTTTGGTCTATAAAGCTTCAAATCAGTGTCGATTAAAGTCACACCCCCTCTTCTGATAAGCAAATTCCTCAATGTTTCACATTTACAAGCCTGTTTGCCTCATCCCCACTTGTGTCTTTTCATATACTTTGATATTTTACATTGTTTTTAAATTATAGAGGTATTTCTTTATTATGTGAAATCACTGTCTTTAAAAATAGTCCAGACACTGCAAACTCTTTCATAGATCCCTAGGTTCCCATTGCTCTGCCTAAAGAACAGAAAGATCTTAGAGGTCTTTTCCAACTTAAATTATTCTATGACTCTAAGATTTGGAAGAGCCAGGATCAAGCCCCAAATAGAGGGGAAAAAAAATGAATGGTACTGGGTAAGTTTCCAATTACTGTAAAGATCATCATGACCCCTACAAAAAGCTCCACATCAGCTTTCCCTAAGGACAAAGCTATCACCACTCCATCTGCCTCCTCTCAGAAGAACAAATAGTATTGTAAATGCTGACAGGGCCTGATTAATAGGTTGGGGGTTTTACTCATATTCAACTATCCAAGTGCTAATAACACATGTATTAACACTCTCATACTTACTCAGCCAGGATTCCAGCTAAGTTACACAATTCACCTTCATCACACTTTCCTTCACCCTTCCAATAGAGAAACACAGTTTGAGCATCCCAAGGTGCAATTCAGACTATTTAAGTAATTTCAGTTCATCAGAACAACTAATAAATCATGAAAAAACAACCCCCAATATTCCTTTAGCTTCAGGTCAGATACCACTTCATTTGCAACAGCAGAACTCTGAACAATTCTTTATGAGAGGATTTAAAAATACCTCATTTAAAAATACCCAGCATTTTTATGCAAGCTACGTAGAATTTAAGGTACTGAGAAGCTCCCTTTTCCCTCTGCAATGTTCCTGTTTTTAGGAAGTTTAAGTTGTTTGGTTTTTTTTTCCACAGAGATGAGTAACCTACCTGCACTGTTAAAAAAGCAAGCAAACAAGTCAACCATCTCTTCCACCTCCATGTCTGCAAACAGGTTATTCAAATTCAGTACGGAAAACAAGTTTCATTAGGGAAGCACGTTTTCTTTCCTCTATAAAAGCCTACTCACCTTGCACAAGTGTATAAACTTGTGGTACGGCTTCAGTTTATTTTTATGAAATGCATTAGTTTTTAAATGAAAATTAAATATAACCTCATTCCTTTGCTTTTGTAAAGACATGTGCTGGAGTCAAAGCCTGAATTACTGTCATCTATTGCAATAGCATGTAAGAAGCTCACAATATACCTTAAGTGAAGCTGGGGATGCCTAGGTCAGGATTTCATCTGCAGATTGCAGAAAAAATTGTGGAAACTGTCTCATTTTGAAAGCAGCAAAACAGAAAGGCAGAAAGCTGAAAGTGAAAAAGTAAAAGAGCCTAGAACTGAGCCAGCTTTTCCAAGTGCTAAATATACATTATTCACTTAACAGTATGGTTCCCATAGCCATAGGCTGTCCAACCCTTCTTCCTGGCCCATCACCTCTGCTCCTTCACCGTGCAGAAAAATCACAGAATAAACAGGTACAAGAGGCTGGGCCACACTAAGTTGTAATCAACTCATGATCACCTAGCAGGCTGATGAATTTATGATCAACTCCTATTGTTAAAAGGAAGCTAATAAAACAGCGAAAAATACATCTCCAAAGATGAGATTAGGTAAAAGCTCATGCAACTGAATAAGGTGGGGATGTACTTGTAGGGTTAATTCTTCATGTCCCTTTTATACTGGTACCAAAGAAGAAACGCTTTTTAATTACAGAAAGATGGAAATAGAATACCACTACTTTCTTTATAAAAATAGTTCACCAAGACTGACCTACCTATCACTTATCCGCATGTTTAAAATATGCCTTTTCCATGAAATTTTGCAGATTCATCCTTGGGTCACAGAAGTATAGAACATCCATTGTTTATTTTCAGACTTTTGTCAGTATGGACTTTGTATCACAGGCAACAGAATTTTATGAAAAGTCTCTTAGTATCGACCTAAAGCAGTTAATTTTTGGAAGAAGTTAATAAAGGTTTAACATCTGGCAGCAGATTTAGGTTTTTTAACTGAATTCTCAGTTCTATTTAATTTAGTGTTAATTTGGTTTCTGACACTGGATGATTCTCTCCAGCCAATAAATAGACTTTCCCACTTTACCAGTCCCATCCTCACCCATTTTGCAATCACTATCAAGTCACAATAATCAACTTTGTCCTTGGGTGTTAGCTGGCATTAGATTTCTCAGAGGCTGGTCACCCCTCTAATATTCCTGTAAGGTTACAATGTAGTCATACAAAAATTCCAAAAAATTGCATAATTAGTGAAGCATTAAAAGCATATTTGAGCTAAGACTGCAATATAAAAGGTGCTTTAAGTAGATGCCAAGACTACCTCCTATGTAGGTAGGTTGCTCTTGGGATACAAGGTACTGAACCATGTGTGTACCCTTGCAAGGGAGTTAGATTTGTCCTCCCCACATCCTTGAACATCACTCTAGTGGTTAAAAAAATTCACCAAGAATATCTCACTGGGTACCACCACTTCTTTCAGTCAAATCATCCATGCAAGTGTCTAAATTCTATCCTTTTCCCTTCTCCTGCTTACAACTAGAGATATTTCAGCTGTCATCTGTAAATACTGAAAACTATCCAAGGGTGTTAGGGTGTTAGGTTGAAAAAGCACCAAAGTAATTCTGATCTGTTTTAATGTTCTAGGGAAGCAATCCCTGGAAGAACAGAAGCAAGAGGGGAGGTGAAAAATGGAAAGACAAAATAGTGCAGCAGAGACTGATGCTTCAGTAATCAGTAAACACTCGTGCTGATTCCCAAGCCAGGCAGGACTGGTTGATCATCACTTTCTATAAACTTTTATAAAACTCTGTGTTGAAGGAAATCCTGATACAAGTGGACTTTGATTGATTCAATTATCTTTTGAGTATTATTTTATTTATCTGGCCAAATCCCACCCAAGTCTTTCTGATATTATCAAAGGGCATTTGAAAGTTCTAGGCATTCTATCACTATTTACCACAGTGTCTATCCAGCCATGCTACAGCACTCCCATTTGAAGCTGCACCTTTTTTCCAGTGAAATTGAACCACTAGCTATCCTTTCAATGAATCCATGAATGGCTAGAATGTTTCACTGATAGAGCAAGTGGATTACTCTCTATGCCTTTCATACATGGTATATAAATGACAGTTTAATATGGAGAAAATAATTGTCGACACACAATAACTACATATAATTCATATGCTCTGATATGTGCAATTTAGTGTTTTATTAATCAAATACAGTAGCTAACCAAAATCAGATAGCTGGTAATGGGAAATAACATTAAAGCCTGTGTTCCTATGGTAATTATTGGTCATCTGAAATGGCATATGCTCTAAAACATAACACTGAAAATTACCTTCCTGTGAAATAAGAAATACAATAGAAATAAAGTTAAGGGACATGTTTATTTCTGAGCTTTCTGCAAGCAAAATTGCTTTGATACAAAATGAGTTCAATGATACAGTGCTACCATCCACTCAAGCGAAAGAAAACCTCACATTTACATGAATGCACTTTATATTGATATTCTTACAGAATAATAGTTCAGATATCCAGAATGTGTCTGGCCTCATTGAAAGCAATGGCACAGAAATGCTGCAAGGTATTGGAATATCATATTATTGGCAAGTGCTTAATTAACTCTGTGAGTTCTCTGAGAGATGCTGTATAAATAAGGGTACTGTGAATGTGTGTTTGTATTCCTTAGTAGTTTTAACATACATCATTTAGTGTTTGTTTAGTTAGCTCAAAATGTGTAATTGTGTCTTTTGGCTTTCAGTATTCTCTTTTTCTTTTTTAAAGAAAAATCATGAGGTATCCTTTACTGTTAACTAATGACATAGTGATAGGCCTTTTTTATTGAGGTTGCAGAGACTTACTGTACATTCAGTACACTGTACATTCGGCAATTATTTTTAGTGTACTTTCTACATGTTACTGTGTACAACTGTTAGTTTACATTAGAACTCTTCCCCTTCTCATAGGATATGGCAAAACGAAAAAGAATCTGACAAAAATTATACACATAAAATAAGAAGACAAATACACAAATAAGGCCATCTGCAGAATTAAAAACCCACCTCTTGCGATATTTCACAGTAATTTCTACATAATATTTTACATCTTATGAACTTAAATATTTAATGCAAAAGGAAAAGACCTTTATGGAGCCAATCATATTATCTCTTCAAGGACTTGTCCGATTTGCTGGCTAGTGGCCTTCTCTGGGGAGTTGGAATTTTAGAAGGCTTGGTGGATCCTGGCCGAGAACCTGCTCGGGGTGTCGGCCTGCTTGTAGCAGGAACAGTCTCTGACATATCTGAGCACACAGACTGGATTTCCGAAATGTCAAAGTCAGATGCGTCACTGCCTCGGCGGCTGCTTGACCTGCTGCCAGCCTTGCTACCTGCTCGGCTACCAGGTCTGCTTGGAGTTCTTCGGGTTTCTAGAGAGAGAGAGAACATAACCATCAGGATTAAATGGAAGGATGGAAAACCTGTGCAGGTCTTTCCTAGGTCTTTGGCAACTCCAAAAATCCCTCATTTCACAAACTAAACTTTAGACCTCTGCCAGGCAAGCTAAACGATGCTGTGTCTCACACTAAAGAAAAGGAAATGCAAGATCAAATGCTGACACATAGTTAATTCATCACTAGCACATCTTGTTAAAAATGCATTATCCTGGCAGCTTTTCTTGACTTCCTAGGCATGCATTGTACCTTCACTCATCAGCCAGAGCCTTTCTTTCCCCTGCCATTTTCTCAGCTAATAATTGAAAAAATTAAACAAAAAAAACTCAGTATCTGGTGTCTTCATGTATTTATGATTTCTAAGTATATCATTTCCTGGAGATACAAATGGACATCCCAAAATTTAAGTATGTACCCCTCTTTTTAAAAAGAAATTAAAATCCATACAGATGAAAGCTGCAACTAAACAAGGGCAAAGTATACATCCTGCCCAACAAAGGGCTGAGAAGATGAGTTCTCAGCAAGCCTGTTAAGTAAAAGCCTGCCCAGACAATGTGCCATGAAGGAAAAAAACACAACAAGCAATCTTAAACAGAAAACAATGTGGTTTTTCAAAAATTTCCAATTACTTAAGTATTTTTGATCTTCACAAATCTGGTTCCCTGTATGTATGAAGAACACTGTGTTGAAGAGCACAGCTTCACTGCTTTCTATTTTTGTATACTACTCAAAAAAATCTCTGTGGGATATTCCATTACTAAGGTAATCGACAGCTGTTCCCTGCAGTTCTTCCAAAGGAAATGGACAGGTCATGACTAAGTGTCTCCTTTGCTCCATCACAATTGAGAATAACTTGAACACTGTGAAGAACTGGATCCTTTGAGTAAATGTCTTCCCTAGTTCCTTGGGCAGATACGTTGGAGGTACCACTGTCAAGAAGATTGTGGTCATGAATTTGCACATCCAGAGCTGAACATGTGAATGGAGGGCCTGATGATGTGCACACTCAGCAATGGGCAGAGTTTTACTCCTCCCCACACTTCTGACATCTCCCCTGAACCCTAACGTGACCTTAAGTATTCAGGTGGAAAACAAAGCAAGGATCAACCTCTGAAGTCAGAACACTCACCTGCAAACTGAGCTCTGACTCTGGTAGCTGCTGTTGACAGGATGCCACTGTCTTCTCCTGAGTGGAAACCCTTCCCTGATAGGTATCCTGGCAGTCTGAGTTTACTTCCTTGAATTGGTGTTCCCTATGCAAACCAAAACACAACAAAAAAATGTTTTTTTAACTGAGGATAAGGACTGGTATTAGGGGCCACATAGCTTAGAATATGATCATCATAACAACATTCACTGTGAATCTGAAATACTGGTTTGAGCCACATTATTCATAATGTGAAGTTTAGAATGTTCCTTTAGAAGTTTGCATTTGAAGTAGTCCAAATGTAAAACAACAATAATAAAGAAATAATTTTAACAGTCTGCTTAACATTTCAGCATCTTTGTGTGTATTTCAATGCACATGAAGAAAGGAAAAAACTACCTTCTTATGATTAGTCAGGCAGGTAAGATTAGTTGATGGTACATACTGAGATTTTGTGTCTGCATAACTTGACTTTACATCATCCTGACTTTAGTTAGAGGTGGCGAAAATATTTTTAAAATTGAAACTAGGCTACCAAATTTCAGAAACTTTTTTGCTAGGAGGAAAAAAACCAAGCCAAAACAAGAAAAAACAGAAAAAAGGGCATAGAACTGATTTTAAAAGTTCCACTTGTCTCTATATTGCCTTACAGTGTCTCTACTACACAGTCTTACCGTGCCTGCTTCCTTATTTCTTAAATGAGTCCTGATTTACAATCTGCCCCAAATAAGAAAATTTCTTTCACAGCCACAAAAATTGAATCATCAGATCTCAAAATTAATATTACTCACTAAATAAGAGGTGTGTGCAAGTAAGAGGAAAACTACAGTGTTCACAGTAATTTAATTAACACAAAAATACTACATAAATATCCAAAAATAAGAACAAACAGTGCAGTGATAAATGAAGTTTGTGGAGTGGCCTGGATCCCAGGATCCTGCACTCTGTGCCTTTGATCCCCATGTAATTGTAGGTAGAATTAGGTACTGAAAACCAGGATCCAGAGAAGTGTGTTGGAAGCTGCCCTGAGCTAAGAGCAGAGCAGAAGCCTGGCAGGAGCTTGCCTGGCAGCTGCCAGTTCAGACCACTTCTGGCACTTCTGAACGAAAGAGTGCTGAGATGCTACTGAGCAATCTGCTGGCTCTGACAGGGCAGGTCACAGTATTAAACTCTGTTAAAGCAAAGTGCAGTGCTTGACATACAGCCAGCCACACCCTGGGAATCTCTGCTACACAGACACTGCTTCGGAGGGGAAGGAGAAAGGGAACATTGTTACCTCCACTGGAGCTGCTGCACTCTGGGCAAGGCATTGGGATAGAACCACCAGTGCAAAAAATAAAACTAGTCTGTTCTTCAGTTTTGCCCTAAGCCCAAATGCAGTTTACATATCAAATGAATAACTGGTCTCTTGGGCAGTAAATGCTGCACAATGTCTTAGAAATTCACTGAACCTACCCCACCCTAACCATTCCATTATAATCTTAAACCACACTGGTTTACATGAAAGAAACTCACTGAAACTACAGGCAGTTGGAAGAGCAGATAAGAAATACAGTGCCCCTACATGAAATCAGGCCAGCTGCTTTCCTGTCATTGTAATTCAATGAAAACACCACCTTTCCATGTCTATAAACCCTTTAATGTACCATCAATTAATCTTTCACTGCAGTTACCAGCTACGAGATGAAAGAAAATACACAAATATATTAGAAACTGACAACTGACTAAACTGTGCTGTAAATCATTCTAAGCCACAGCCCTGTGTGCTTGCAGTGCTGTACCCACAGACACACCTGCAGTGTGCACAACAACATGCACAGAAGGAGGGAGGAAGAAGTTTGTTGTGCATCTTTGAGCAAAGCCATGCTGAGGTTATGGAAACTTCACACCAGAAGGTGTCACATGAACAGCAATAGGCATCAAAGTGCAGATTTGTGAAAAGCAGATACAACAGAGGGGGTGGTAGCACAAGCTTCTCCTATCCAAGCCCTCCATCGAGCCCAGGGCAAGAGTAACTCCCACAAATGACACATCAGTGTGCAGCCTGATCCAGCTGCAACCTTTTCACCAACTGTAATGACCTTAGAGTAAACACTTTGGCTCCAAGGCCCTTTGAATTTTGGTCACGCAGCCTAATTGCTGGCACAGTCCCAATTGCTATACTAGCAATTTCCATGTAAGCCATGCTAGTTTCCTGTTAAGTCATCAAATAGCTATCCTATGAGAGAAATGATTGGTCACTACCCCCCTAAACAAAACTTTTAGTTGCTGTAAAGATTTATGTATCACAGACAGACTTTTGTGCCATCTTCTTCACAGTGATTGTGTATTTCTTTATTTAGTGGTTTTGCACTAGAGATCATGATTTATTAATCCCACGTCTGCAGTTCAGAAACATTGGAGTACCTCATGAATTCAAAGTAAACAATTTTATGAAAGAAACCTGCAAAGTATATTGAATGTTTTATTTTTATAAAAAAGTACTTTTCCACATTTACTTGACCATTTCATTCCATACTTTTATGATTTATTAACCATTTGAGCTTTAAACATTAGCTCATTGTGGCTATATTTTCCAAAAACTAAAAAAACGTGAAAAATAGAACATAAAAAAAAAATAAATCAACAAACTTGGGAGGAAAAAAAAAGTAAGAAATAATTTGACAAAGGTCTAAAATAAAGACAATGCATTAATAAACACAGGATGTTGCAGCTCAGAAGCACTGAAACTCTAGTGGCTGTTAGTGAAGTGACAGTTTTAGTGAAGGAAGTCATTAGACTAGAATTTCTGTCCTTACTGTACCTCTGCAGATGACCCTTGATAGTCTGAGGATTCTGGTGGTTTAGAAGGAGTTGATGTTTTGCTGTTTGTCAACCATGGTTTACCATAGTTGCGTGTTAAATGATGTGGTGTCTGTATGAAACAACGGTAAATCAAAATATGAAGGACAGTACAGGAAAACAACGTCATGGAGAAGGATACCCGGGCTTTCAAAATCTCAGCAGAAAAAAAATCTAAGCAGAAAGAGTTAATGACAAATGTTCTAAACTGAAGAGATGACAGTTTATTTTTCAACTGAAATGGAGAGCTTTGTTGATCTTTCAGGGCAGTTCCCAAACTGCCGGTTAGTTCATGTGGCACCTTAAATGTAGAAATTCTTCTACTGCCATGTTGCAAGCAAACAGTAGAGAAAACACATTGAAAACACTTCTCAGATCCCCCAGACTAGGAAATACTTTTTCTCCATCAGCTAGAGAGAGCATCATTATTACTGGAGCAAGGAAAAATGCCCAAATTCACTCTATATCCCATTTGTTAACCAGTACGGTTTTGTACGTTTCTCCTTACCTTCGGTGTACTTGTAGTAACAGCTTGTGGGGCAGCTGCCTGGCCAGCTTGACTTGAGAGAGAAGTGGATCTGTTGGGAGAAGCACCTCTTGAAGAGGGTCGTGATCTACGGCCCCTTGGTCGGAAAGCTGCCATGCTCTGACTGGCACCATCTGCCAAAATGAATTTTTCACGCAGCTCCACGTTTGTCCTCCCTTTAGCTGCAAAGAGAGGTGTTCATTGACTCAGGCATGAAAGCTGTCACAAGGCTGTTTATTGCCATTTTTGCCATGCCAACTCCAACACATTTTAACAATAAATAAAATGCATTACTGGGTAATGCATTTATTTTGGACACAGAAGAGTTATGTGCAGGACTCGCTTATTCTAATACTTTATGCCAGCAGGAATGAACCACTGTCAAAGGAAGTCAGCGTGATAATGGAATGCTCAACGTGCTAAATCATTGTTAATCAATCAACTATTAATACATAGACACAACCTGATGGGCAGTTTTGCTAACTCTACAGCTATTCATAATAAATAATACTTGCTTGGATGTTCTAGAAGAAATAGCTAAATACAAATTACAGGAAAGCAGCAAATATATTTATTCAAAACTATGAAGTTATGTAGTTTGGCAACATGCAATGATGAACATAAAACCCAAACTATGATGAGGTAATTGGTGGCTAAGCACTCATACACACATACAAACACACATATGAGGGAATGTTCTGCATGAATAAATGCAAGACATGTTAGCATTTAACTGTGTCAGTGTGAATGACAATTGTTTTTGAAACACTCTTCAAGCGTGTCAAAAAAATTAGCTTGCAAAGCACCAGCCCATGTAGGAACATGTTAAGCTAAATATGATGGGTGAAGCATATAGTTAAAAGTATATATATATATTAAAAAAGCAGGAGGGAAATGAAGAGAGAGAAGAAGAGGAGGAGGAGACAAAGAGAGGGGTTTGCCAACCTATAGTAGGCTGAGTGGTAATTGAAGAGTTTGATTCCGAACGTAACATTTTACTCCCGTGATGATGAACTAGAAAAAATGACACAGGACATGGGTCACATTAAAGAAAATCGTTAGCAGGAGAAGAAATCAAGTACAGCAGCTGCATGTGCAAGAGACTTGGAGCACCAGGCCAAAAGACAGGACTTGAGCAAAAGCTGTCCCTAAGTGCTCTGAGGTGAGTTCTCAAAGGGCTCCTAGGCTAAAAGGAAATGGCATTTTGACAGACTCAGCTACAGTCCCAAGTATATTTGTGAAGCAGCGGTATTTATCTGCTGACATAAAGAAGTAATACAAGCTAAAGTGATTTTATATGATGAGGTGCAGTACTTTTAAAGTTGTTTATGACAACAGTTTTTTGCAATGTGATTCATCTGAATACACGAGGAGCACTTGGTGGAAATACAGACTTGCTAGGTGAAGTGGGCTGGGAAAAGTTTGAACCTACATCACTGACTTCAAGCAGACGAGTATTAGGTACCAATGCACAATATCCAGTGATATTGGTTTTACAGAGTATTCTTACAGGTATTCTTTAGACCCACTGTGCTGACATCTGCTCACATATACCCAAGAAAAAGGGTCCTTCTTTTATTCCTTTCTACTTCTATTCCTCAAAAGTTCAGAGTAGTAGAAAATAAAATGTGCCTCAGAAGATCTGGCTTCACTGAAGGGTTAACTTGTTAGTTCTGTTGTACCCCAAACATTTTTCTCAGGCCTACTGTAGACTGTTACAATTACTCCTATATTGACACTGAAAGATACAATACTTAATAAATATCCAATCAATTTACTGGAATCCCTTATTACAGTCATCAGTATTGTCAACAGTGTACTGAGAAAACAGCTCATCTGATGCAATGCCCTGAGGGCTGAGTGACAGAGCACTCCCTGCTCCTCCAAAGCACAATGTTCTCTGGACCAGAACATTTCCACTCGCTTTGTATAAGGCTCAGGGCTCTACAAAGTGCTTCTGGGGAAGATGCCAAGGAAAAGACAAGGTCACAAAGGTAGAGACTGAAAGACTGGGAACAGTCACTGGCCAAAGGTTTTTGTGGTGGTGGTGGTGTTACTCATCAATTCAACTGCCTTATTTTGACTTATTGTGAAGCTGAGAAGGTTTTACTGGACATTTCTGTGTGCTATTTCTGCCAAGTCATACAAGCCACTTCTTTGCCATAAAGTCTATCTGGGCTAGGATGATTTCTTACTTACACCACTATAACACTGAAGGAACTGTGCAGAAGACACACCAGAGTTTTTCCAGACGTACATCAGTGCAACTGAAGAGGATCTTAACCATGTGATTTAAAGTTCACAAAAACATGACATTTAGTGAGATGAAGTATACAACAACTGGCATTTATACAAGTCCATCTCCATCTTGAGACAATGAATGGCGACTGCATCCAAATAATATGCTGCAAGTTTTTAACAGTTCTGCTACATACCACGGCAAGGATCATTTTTCACTAAGAACTCATCAAGTGCCATCCAGCCACCTCCAACACGGACCATGACCGTACTTCTTAGGATACGAACAAGGCGCAGTTGTTGAGAGTCACCGAACTGCAATAAAAATCAAATGACAGTCTGAGGTTCTCAGGCATTCAGATGCAGATAACACTGACAGGTTAAAAAAATCAGTTTATTTTGATATTTAATTATTAGTAAATGCTTAAAAAAATCAATTTATTTATGCAGATTATTAAAGCTGTTAAGATTTCATATCAGATGGCACTGCATTAATCAAAAGAAGATGGCAGGATGGTAAGAAAGAAACTCAGGTTTAATTTTATGCTTGATTCTCAAATGTCTAAGGTTATAAAAGAAGAAAAATAGTTGTACATTATTTAATTGGTTACAGTCTGCTTTTGTGCAAATTAATGAAGACCTATTTGCTTTTTTCTCTGGTAAAATCTTAAGCGAGCACTCTTCTGCAACAGTCTTGATTTTTAATGTTGTCAGCTGAAAGGAAGGCAGCATCACTTCAAACAATCAGTATTTAATCTGGAAATTCAATGTGTTATGTATGTTGCACAGTTCTATTAATTGATTCATCTATGGGAATATTTTCAGGTATAGCACTACATTGCTGACACTGCTTATCTACAGCAAGGTGCATGTGGGGAAGGGAACATTAAAGAAACAATAAATGAGTAATAACTATCATTATGTTTGTCATTCCGCTGTCTACACATCAAGGTTTTTCATGATTCAGAGATACACAACAATCTGTTTCATACTAAGTTCCTGTATGAGTCCATTCTTCCTTTGGGCCGATGGCCAGGCCTAATGCATGTTTTGCTCTTGAAACCTGTGTAACAAAACCTGTACGCAGTACCTTCACTCAAATTCAGATCAAAGAAAGCATGACCAATATGTTGACCTCACAATCTCAAGGTAACTAACCAAAAGAATTCAGTACTTTTAAGCCAACACTACTAAAAGATTTTGATACCAGACCACCAGGCCAAGTGCAGTGCACTCTCACACAAACATGCAGAGCACTCACTAAAACCAATGGGAGTTGAATGCCCCTCTTTGGGACAATCTCTGACCCTTGGAGAAGGCTGGCCATAATTCAGCTGTACCTACTTGCTCCAGTGAGGGGACTGAACAAACCACACAACAAACGTGCTCCCTACTTGTTAGATGACTTTAGTTGTTTGGTACTACTCAAGCCAAGAAGAGAGAATAAGTTTAAAGGAACATTACTTTTAGGAACCAAACAAAAGCAAAGCTTGCTTCTTAATTCAATAATAAATTGTATTTGTTAGAAGTAAGAACATTCACATGAGCATTATTTGTAAGAGTTTTTTAATAATGGATTCAATATGTGCCAAACAAAGAACCATTTTATATACGTGGATCAAAGTTGTTTTTTTTAAAAAAGGCATCCAAATTAATGCTGTTTATTTTCATTGGCGTGTTCCTACCAAAATTCTTTTCTAGTGATTCTGAAGATAGTATCTTTCTTCTTTATTTTTTTCCCCATCACAGCCTCATTAGGCAGACCCTATCAGGCAACTACACCAAGGGTCAAAAACAGTGTGCTTTGGAAACTGCCCACCTAGCTGAGGTTAATTCAGAAAGTGGGGCTGGAAAGTACCACAGTAATACAATAGTATCTATTGCTGCATTTATTCTTATGGTAATTCAGTTGATTTCCTTCCTAAAATAGCCTGGATACCAACTTCCTTTAAACAGTATTGAACATTATTTCAAATAACCAGAGGTAAAAACATAAAAGAGTTTAAGCCACAAAAAGGCCTAATCTTGACAATAGCCTGTAGGTGCTGTTCTGCATCAGTAAGAGTTTCTCAAGAAATGCTCTATGTTTTGCAGATCTGAGAGTACAGATGACAGATAACAGAATTAACATAATTTCAAAAAGTTCCTTCAAAAGAGACTTGTTCTTTATGTGGAAAATATTTAAATTATTGCTTACATGTATTGCTTGAGGCATGTGGCAAGATTAGCCACTGCTCTATGCCTTCTTCTATATTTCAACAGGCTGTGCTAGTAAACAAGTGTGCACCCACATTTTCAACATCTTGAGATTTAAAATGGCTATTGCTGTTGATGCTAGCATGTCCAGAATGGATTAAACCCACTATTGCCTTTTCAAAAAGCTAAGACTAACGGTATCTGATACCTGGTTTGCATAAGGTGCTTCCATTCTTACTGGGCAGATGTGATTTAGCACTTCAGGAAGATATGTATCAGTGTGTAGCACCCGACTAAGCACTGGGTAGTGTTTAGTCCAGAGGAAGGACCCACCAGTGACCCAGATGACAAAGTATTCTTAAACACAGTTCCAGTGCACTATAAACTTGCCACAGCTCCTTGAAAACACTTTGGGAGAGGGATTAGTCTAAATGGGAACAGCAATTTTATTTTGCCTATTTCCAAAGTATCTATTTAAAGATTCAGTGTTAGCACATAAAATAATAACTATCAGCCAGGTTCTTAATCAATCTGCTTGTTACGTAGAGATTGTACCTTTTCTTTGCAAAGATGAAAGTATTTTTTGTGCAATTTGCAATAAATAAATGATAAGGCACTGAGATATCTGTTTGCTATGATTAGCCTTTAATCAAATAGCCTAAAAGAGACATTACAGAGTTTTGAAGGATTCAACTATAAAACTGATTAGGTAATTGTAATCTCTACAATTGCAGTTCAAATGCTCAAGATTTTTTTGTTATGGGAATTGCTGCTGACTATTATCTGGTTCCTTTAAAAGTAATCTCCTTAATGAGGAAAATGACCAAAGAAAGCAGGTGAGGGATTGTAGAGGAGGGACCCTGACACAAGGAATTCTCCATAGCACTAAAAGAAATACCACAGCTGACCAGCAATGAATTAGCTGAAAATTAAAGGATGGCAAGAAGACTGACCATTGCAAGCTTAAATCACTATGCGTTAGGGAAAATAAAATAAAATAAAAAAAATAAGAAAAAGAAACTTCATAACACATTCCACTGGTTTATACCTGATTTCCCAGGAAGAACTGATAAGAAATGAAAAATGGAAGAAAGACACGATTAGTTTACAGGAAATTCTCTACATGACCTAGAACACATGCAAAGTAACACATTAGACATTCTAAATAAAGTATCTACTAGAGAGATGAGCAGGTAGCTAGCCATCCAGAGACTGAATATTGGGAAATATTCAAGGCCTTCATTTCCTTCCCATTGCTGTTTCTGTGGTCTTTTAAAATTTACACATACTTATTAAAATCTCTTAGCCAAATACTGCGCATTTTACCTCAATTGTTCTGGTTATTTGATCTAGGGGTAGCAGATCTTCTCTACTGTGTGATATTTACTTTTCTGTGATCTAAAATAATTCTGCAGGTATCTAATGCTTTGCTTATACTTCAGAAATATGTGTGTTCCAATAAAATGACAAAAGAGTGTAAAAATGATTGAATACACTTAGGTAAAAGATTTTTGAAGTACAACACAACAAGAAAATATCAGTCACTGTTTTTATGAAACTAATAGAAAATCAGCTATAGTTTAAACTCTTGAGGTACCCGGGCAGAAAGACTAGCTTTTGAGGATATACTGTTCGTATGCATGCATGTGTACTGATGTGTGCAGTTCCTAAAAATTCCTATGATTGAGAACAGCTTCAGTAGTTTAAGTGAAAATAAATACAAGCATCAGAAATTTTCCATATTTTTAGTCTGTATGTTCTAACAAGAAAAAAAAAATGTAGACAATCTTAAAGAAAATGTAGTGTCATACAAGATTCTTGTGAATTTATATAGCCTAATTCCTGGCATAAACCATGTCATATGAAGAAAGCTGAAAGAACTGAGGACTTTAAAAGACTTACCCTGTACTTGTTATCCCCAATCTGTTCCACTTGAAACCGCTTCGCACATTTACATTTTGCTACCTGCCTTGTAACCTGCAAAAAAACCACAAGATAATTAAGTACTACATTTCTAAAGATTTGTGTACCTAGTAAACTTCAAATTAAATAGGAGTGAAAATAAAGTGAATTATTATAGAATGTGAATCCAGCAGAACAGAATGCAACCTAAGAAAGCAGAGAATGTACCTCATCTTCAATTTTGTCAGCATCTGTGAGAGGCTTGTATGCATCCTTGTTTGGATGAAGAGCTGCTACAAATTCATAATAGTCAATATATCCATCACCATCTCTATCAAAAATGTCTGCAACAGCACTCATTTCAAGTCGGCTTGTAGGGAATTCTGAAGGACAAAGACAACAACACATTTTTTTTCGCTTTTCAATCCCATTACAATGAGAGGCTCTATCACAAATATTAGAAGGTGAATATTAGGCATTTGGTGAAAGATCGTGCTTATAAAAAAAAAAATAAGGATATTTGGACAAGTGAAGGAATATTTTGACCTTCAAAGTGCATAAAATACCAGAAATTAACAAGATAAATAGTTAGTCAGGGGAGGTCAAGCAAGCATTTCAGTGCTGATTAAATCTGGAATGTGAAGCCTTCTCAATGCAGATCCATGCATGGTGTTTCATGAAGTCCTTCATTAGATCAAGTTCAGAGTAGCACAGTATTAACCCACACAGAGATTCTCAATGAAATGGTCAAAGAAAATTTCAAGGTGAGGAACAGGGATTATATTAGGAGTGTTTGGTGGTCATAATAAATTGATAGCAACTGAGTTAAAAGCATAAACTATTTAACCTGTTGGTGGTATTATATATTTTTCATGAACTTTTATTAATTCAAGCGAAACAGAAATATCCACATATAGTGATCTTATACTGCATTTCCTAAGGCAGGGGGAAAATATACAGAGTACAGTATTTTCCTACTGAGTAACACTAAAATGAAATTCTAGAAGCAGCCCGATTCCGAGTCATTACTGTTCAATGCAAAAGTCTCCATGATCTGAAGATAAAGGATTATTTTAAATATTAGGTCATTATCTGTTATGAGTCTGTTCCTAAAAGGAAATACGATCACATGTATGATGTGGAAGACTTACATTACCACCATACCTAAGGAATACCAATCCACCAGGAAAGCTAGGAAAATTGCTTTCTAATTTGATTGCTTGGCATTTTAAGCCCTATTATATAGGTATATGAATATTGTCATGGCTCATGAAAACACTGGTCTCAAAAATTAGAGTTTCCTTCTATAATTGAAACTATTCCATGCAAGTTCTTTAATAAAAATCATATGATCCTATGAACCAATTTTGAAATGTTAGGTTACATAATGTACTTTTTACTATTAGAGTAATCAATCAAAAAGTAATTGTTGAAGTAGCTAGTGTACTATAGGATTGACAATCTGAGTTCAGTAAACCAACAAACTACTCATTAAACAATAATATGAATGTGACCTTTGTAACCTGATTCACAATGTAAAATAACTAGAGTTTCTAGAATCTAAAAATATTTTCAAGTAAAGTAATAATGAAGCAATAATAATGAATACATTCAAAAAGAAAATCCGTGACCTTCTAACACAATAAAATGCATAGGTCACTCTATCTAGACAATAAGACTTCATGAGATGTTTGTTCCAAGTTCAACAGTACGTTAATTTTAAAACTTACTTGAAGAAAGAATTCCATCGATAAATTCCTGTCTTGTAATCTTTCCATCCTGATCTTTATCAATCCTCCTAAAGAAGTCCATCACACGAGACTTCTTGTGGTTCATCCATCGCATGTATTTTTTCCTCCAAATATCAAAATCAAAGTTGGCAAATTCTCTCAGCTTAATAAAAAACAGAAAGAACTTTTTTCAGCTGAAATCCATCAATCGAGAACATCAATGAGATAGATACCATCTGCGTTTTGTTGAACACTTGATTCTTTGAGGACCTACGCAAACATTTTAAATATCTCAACTCTCCTCATTTAAAATGACGATGACAGCTTTTAAAGCACATTAAAGCACATCCATCACAGTGTTTTCAGCTAGCTGTGTCATACCATATAATACAACAACTATGGAAGTTGTTTACAGTATTGGAATTTAATCCAGGGTAAAGAAAATTGTGCAAAAAGTACATATATTCTGTACAGTGCTTTTCTGACCTCTTCAAGTCTGTCCAGAGCATCGTTAAGTTTTCTTCTTCTTTCCAAGGCCAGAAGCCAAACTTGCTGCCATTTGCTGACTAAAAGGTTTACCCGTGGATTCTTGGTTTCAATTTGTGCCTGGGCTGCTGATGGATAAATGCCTGGTGTTGGGGAACGCTTTCCTGTTAAAACATGATAAAATGCGTAGGGCTCACCCAGGGCTCAAACAAAACAAATGCTCACATGAAATGCACTTGACCTTCCTAAAATTATTCCTTCCTGTCCCAAATAAGGAGGTCATGCCCCAAGATGATTCCATATAGTGGGATTTTTTTCCTTTTTTTTCCTATTCCAGCAACCCAGTGATAGTTACAGCCTCTTTTATCTAGCCAGAAGCAGCTAGTGAGTCAAGCTAGTCGAGCTGCACAGTTTAAATAAATCTTCGTAAATCTCTCAGACTTGCAAAGTAAACAACCTCATTTTAGAAGCAGGTTCCATGTATGGGTAAGTATAAAATACAATGGGTAAGTACATCTAAAAATACAAAAATCAATTTCCTCACTTGATGATTCACTTTTCCATTCAACTTCACTGAATACACTTCTAACTGGATTAATATAGTTTTATAGACAGTAAGAGCATAATTTTGTCTCTAAATCTCTGTGAAGTTGTCTGTACTTTCAGATAATGGGATATTTAGAAGACTCAGTATGTACTGGTTCTTGGAAGTTTAAAGGCACAGGAAAGGCTGCGCACTTTAAAAATAGATATTCATGAAGATTAGGACAAAATGTAAAAATACATGTCTGCTCTGAGAAATTTTCTCACAATTTATAAAAAATGAGAGATAATTAGAAAAGTCAGCCAAGAGAATTTTACCTTCTTTCACCAGAAGTTAATCAAGCCTATTAGATTATTAGCAATCTGTAAGCTTTATAGATAGAGCAATGGTATGTGTGACACACCCCAAAATACACTGTTACTTACTTCCTGCTCTCCCCTTATCAAGGACAGGAATATGCGATTGTACTGGAGAGGGTTCAAGTGCTTTCCTTTTATAGGTCTTTGTAACTTTATCCACATCAGGCTGTTTTCTGGTCATTTCTTCCATGAATGTCTGCAATCAGATAGAGGGGATCTTAATTAAAAATACACAAAAGTAACCAGAGGAATGGAAAACATACACAATAGCAAAACACCCAAGTTAAAAAGAAACACACAGCAAGACACTTATAATGCCAGCCTCACAATACAGACTTAGAGAAATGTATTGTAGATAAGAAAAATCAGCAGTATAAGCTTTTAAGGGAACTATGGCCTGGCTGTTAAAAGAAGGCTAAATCTAAAAACCAATCTGTCAAACTCCTTTATTAACTATATATGGTGAGGTGATATAGAACAGAATTTTGCCTCCAAGATCCTCCTGTTCAGACTGCAGTTCACAGAAGTGAGACAGCTCTGGTGTGTAAGCTGGGGGCATTCACAACACCAGAAGCTCCTTCTGGCACTTCATAAACTGATTTTTGTTATCTGATCAGTAATGACACACTGCACCACTAGATCTAAGGTGGCAGCACTATACATTTCATATGGGTTCTTTTATTCATAATATTATCCTTGCTTGTATTCAGTTATTATAAGAAAAAAATATCAAAAATACCATGCAGCCCAGCCCCACATGGAGATGCGAGCCCCATGTGAGTGACACATGTCACTTGATAATCCTTACCTGATGTTCAGCTATAAGCGCTTTAACTTCCTCAATCTCCTGGGGGATAACCTCTTTATCTTTTTCAGTTAGTGTAGTCTCTGCCCACTGCAACCAGGACAGCAAGGCTTCCAGCAGCTCCTGGTTAGCAATAAGTCCAGCCAGAGCTCCTGCTAGTCTCTGTTGATGTTGTTTAGCCCATGCCAAGACCTTGAAAAAGGAACTAATACATGAGTATGTGCATCTGAAACTCTTCACATTGTACATAAAATTGCTCTGCCAACTGTAAACCCAGAGCTACTTCTTAGGCCTGTTGATGTTTGGATATCAAGGGTGTTAAATGTAGTGGCTGATCACTAACAGTAGCTAGGTAACTAGAATTCCTAGTCCAACACATTTCTTCCACAGATATACAGGATTAGGTGCTGCTAAACACAGTAACTAGCACCTTCAGGCAACATATTAATAATTTTAAATACATGTGTAAGTTAATGAATCATACAGGATTTGGTGTCAGTTTTCCTCCTGGGCACTCCTGAAGCCATACTTTGCTATCACCAGTATTTATATTTTCTTTAAGCTTAATATAAAACAAAAGATATCACCTTAACAGCTGAGAGTACAACCTACCTGTAGCCACTTAAATAATTCAGCTATTTTCTAGATTACAAATGTGTTGGACTGAAATCCTCTCTAATGCAATCAGAAAATCCTTCACATTTGCCCTGAATTTTCTTTCCTTTGTAACTTTTCAATTTCCCCCTAGAAACTATTGGTTTTCCTCACTTGGGAAGCATCAGACAGCATTTCCTTTAATGCATACAAACAAAGAAGCTTGACCATCTGCTTTAGCTCTTAAAGCCCTGGAAGTTTTGAAAGAAAGCCTAGGGAAGCACGGTATTCACATCCATCACCATGGGTATTTTAAATGTTTAGTTCTCAACAGCTGGATCGTTTCCTCACAGTGTAACTACCATGTTAGTTGTCAGCTGTGTCCTAATGGAAGATGGACTGCTGCAACGAAGATGGTTCAACATATACTGACCTCTTCAAACCTGGCTCTGATGATTGTTATCCAGTGCTTAATGGTGGTGATGGAGTCTGGGTGGCAGATAGCCAGAATAGCTTCCCCCATACCTGTTGCTTTATTCAGTTCTGCCTTTTTCTCTTCCAGTTTCTTCATAAATTCCTAAAACAGAGATAGTAATTTTAATTGGATGCTGACAAAATTTGCAAGAGAAACCTGAGTGCAAGATCTGCAAGGATCTGAGTGCAAAATTTGCAAGAGAAATTTGGAAGGTGATGAGCCTCTTTACTGCTCAAGCATATTCAACTTGCAAGGGGCAAGTTTCATTTGTATGAGAAAAGCTTAAACTGTTTAAAAAGCATATTACACATAAAGCACTAAACAAAGCTCTAAAACCTTATTCCAACTTGCCACTCCTTAAAAGCCCACCATGCTCTAAATCCTTGAAAGATGCATACCCTTAATAAAAAAACGAAAGAAAATCACCGCATTTAGGAGTGCTCTAAACCAGCTATATGATGGTTAGAATCACTATTGGCAACATTTCAATGACTTGGTTTGTCAGTTACAGTAATTCTTCACAATGAACTGTCAAGCTCCTACCAGAGGCTGGATATGTCCAACTATAATTGCATGCTCAGACAAGATGACAGAGTTCAGGAGCAGCTATAGTAAACTAACACAAATGTGACAACTCAGCAGCTGAGGGGGAGGGACACAGCATGTGGGAAAAATCTCGTAAAAGCAAAAGGATGTTTACAGCCTTAGGCATCCAAGCTCATAGTTATTGGTATTCCTGTGACAGCAGGACCAGAAATGGATGTGGGGGAGAAACAACAATAAGAAAAAGCAAGTGAAAAGAGGATTTGTCCCATCCTTTCTATAGCCTGCCTTTCTTTCTTTTTTTTTTTTGTTTTTTCCTTTTCCCCATTCAATTTTATTTTTGGTTAATCATTACTACTAAAATGGTCTTACTTTTCTGCCTAAATATTATGCAAGTCTGTGTGTCTTTGTGAGCATCCTTAACTGGTAGTGCTAATATCTCTCAGTGCCTAGTGGAAATTTTTTATATCCTTTAACATCTTTAATTAGGCTACAAAAAGGAATCGTGTCTCTGAAATTTTAACTCTTCCTCTCTCCAGCCATAAATCCATTTATTTTGGATTAAAGATGAAATTAAAGATGAGCCAAGTCAGAGCCTAGACAATTCAAAATCACCAAAACATTCTAAAAACAGGCTCTTCAGCAACTCATAATGACATTATCTGTGCCTTTACAAAATAAGTATGAAGTTACAAATAAAAATTTAAAATGTCAAAGACATAATCTCTTCTACCTTGTTCTAGAAGCCTGGAATATGTAGGCTCTATATTTAAATGCATTTGTTGCTAACTGATTTTGATTTAAGCTTTAATTACTGCCAGAGTTTAAGACCCAAATCATAATAACAAACCTTCTTCCACAAAAATGCATGCATCCTTACAATATTGCAGTTCAACATGGTTTTGGAAAAATTGAATTGGATTATAATGAGAAATTACCAAAATAAGCCAGAGACAGGTGAAAAATGGGCAAAAACTCCCACTGTGTTCCCCTGCTTGGCTGTACTAGAGTCTTTCAAGAATTAAATCTATGATGCACAACTTGCAGTGTATTAAACTCCCTAATTGTATTGAACTCTGGCAAACCAGTGACACAGACACATTTACAAAAGAGGAAATGGGATGCTTCTCATTGAGCAGTGCAGTCCATTAGCCCACTACAGCTCTCAGTCCCTAGAGAGATGGACAACTGACAGATACCTCTCTGACTGAGACAGCAGAATTCACTAAATCATGTGCAGTACTCAAGATGAGAAAAATCAGAAATGGGCATAAAGATGGACCATTTGGATAAAATATTGTCCTGAAGAAAACATTTCTACATTTGCAATTGAATACAAATGCAATAAAACTATTTTACAAAAATCACAGTGACAAAAGGATGATACATTTCATATTTATGCAATAATTTCACTCATACATTTTTATTATAGTATGCAGCATTATCATGCATACATGGTATTTATAAGTAATATATATTATTTCTTCCCTTATTTTGTTTTTGTCTTCTTGAAAGCTAATGGTATACACTTAAAAGGAGAGATGACCTATTTGAGAAAGACTGAGTGGCAGAATGGTAGCATCATAATCTTTCTTAGCTTGCCAATTTCTCTATCTCTATTGCTTGCCCTTTAAGAGGAAAATGGGTTTGGGAGAATGCCTTCTAAAGCCTACCAAAAAAAATTAAGTACAGCATGGCCACATCTAACACTGAGATTGGTTGTGTTGTGCTAGCTATCATCCTTCCACTGGACAAGGTTTTCTCAGAGACAAACTTTGCTTTGAGGTTCCAAGTTATGCTTTAGCTTTGGCAGCACAAATTTTGAACTTCGTACAGAAACGTTTTGCTAATCCATCTACAGTGTGGAGGAAGACACTTAAAATTCTACTTTCCAATTATTTCAGTGGACCTAAGATTTCACTCAGTTCTCTTCTCTGTAGTCAGAAGATTTAAAAACTCAAATAAAAGGGAACTGGTGAAGCACATGCAGAAGAAAGGCAGCTAAAAGACATTTCATTGAACAGAGACATTAGGTTGCTGCTGCCAACATTAGTCAACACACTGTGAGGTTGTTACACCAGCACACACTGATGTATATACACATTTGATGCATATATACATTTGCCAGCTTGTGACTAGCACTCAGTTTCCAGGACCCTAAATTAAAACTGAAAACTTTTTCAAAACATTGCATCTTAACTACATTGAAAATCCCTCAGTTAAGGACCATTTAATTGTCCTATCTTGCATGTACTCCTCTGCATAATAATATAATCAAACTCAATTTAAACAGGATGCTTTTCCAATCTCCATTTCATGAATTTTGCTTTAACTTCTTTTTTAATTTCTTCAGAGCAATGATGAACATATCCACAACTTATAATTTGTTCTATAACACTGTGGGCAGCACACCCTTGGTACTATTTTGTGTGAAAATTTGACCTCTAAGATCCTTACTTAGCCAATTTCCCATTTCATTACTGCAAAGTTAGTTTGATGGCCTATAATCTACAACCTGCAGCACCCATGCCACTGCAATATTACAGTAGCCAATGCATGTGAAATATGACAGCATGCTGTTTCACCATGACAAAAGGTTCATGGATGATAACATCATCCTGCTGACATTTACAAATAACCTTGCAAGAAAAGTCCATGTCCTTTAGGTCAATGCTGCCAAGGAGACACTTTTGCTACTGTACCAGTCAGTGTGGTAATTACAGGCCTGGTATACTCCAGAGAGGGGCTTGCATCCGTCTCTAAATGTTTATAGCAACTTTCTAGAAGCCCGTTTTTTTCTTTAATAAGCCAAGATGACTCAAACAACAGCCCAACATCAGTCTGGACATCAAACTCTTAACTTAGATTTCTAGTTTCTCTACAGGAAGAATTGCCCCAATACTGGATGCTGGATAGAACTATCTGGGATAGACTTTGCCTTCTTTCCTCTGTTTTACCATCTATCAGAGCAATTAGAATGAAGAAGATCCTCTTCATTTTCTTGCTTACCCTGTGCTGCTCTATCAGTGTTCGCAAGGCCTCTTCATCATCTGGGAGGATGCCGTGGAAACGAAGAGCCTGCTCTGCCTCTGCCAGCCACTCCAAAAGGACATGGACAACTGAGTGGAATTCTTCTGCCTGTTAAGATACAAGAAGTCGTGGTCACTCATGAGGTGACCTGACAGACACACTGCAGCTTACACAGGGAGACTGAGCCCACATTTCAAATCATTAATCATCCAGCAGTACCAGCACATTATCTTTCCATTAAAAAGTCAATGATGCACAGCACTACATTTTCATAACTGTAAAAAAACAGCTCATGCTTCCCAAAAAAATTATAGGAAGCCTAAAAGCCTGCTCATGCTTTTAGCCATCTGATTTATAGTGTATTTGCAGCTCAGTTGAGAATGTCATGCCTTTACACTGACAAATTACACAGAAGGTGCTTTCAGGGACCAGCTGGAGAGATGAGAACTATTGTCTGCACAGCCTAAAGCACCAGTTAAGCAAAATTAATTGACAGCCTGTTGGATAGTGACTCTTCTGTGTCTAGAGAAAACAAGAAAGATTCACCTTTGGGTACAGGAATATTCAGACACAATTAGTGTCTGAGGTAAGTTCAGGATTGTGTCTGCTGAGTAAAGCAGAGCAGGAATACTGTACACAGCAGATGACTGCTACTCCAGGAGTCCCATCCTAGCATAAGTCCAAGCTTGTATATCTTCAGAGAGCTGTACATCCATATTATCTCAGGTTTGGAAACAATACAGATATATCTATTTATTGGAATTGGTACCAGATAATGCTGACATACATAGACAATTCTAGGTCATGACTGCACTCAGCACAAAAAAATCTATTTATTCTCTGAAGTACCTCACCATACATTGTAATTGTGCCAATGTAAAGAATTTTTCAATACACAAATTTACTTCTTTCCAATAAGGCACAAAAAGCAAAAATATGATTGCAACCTTCTGCTTCTTGTGAATGGGGCATAGTTCTTTGTCATCCTTCATATTTGACTGTAACTTCAGTGATTTCCTTAGATGGTAAGGTCTTTGAAACATTTGTTTTGCATTTGTGGCAGAGACTAATAATAACAGGAATAATAAATACTAAGAGGCACTATTTATGTGCTGTGGTAAAAGGATAGACAAGGTGAGCAATGCATTAGCAAGTAAATGAGTATTTTCAAATGAAATGAGAGTGAATGACACCAAGTGAAATGAAATTAAATTTTTGGTGACTAAACTGCAAGATATTTTTCACTGACTCTGTACATGTAGCAACATTGTTATTCCTCTACCTGCCGGAGGGCCTGTTCCAGTCGTGTTTGCTTGGATACTGACAGGGCACAAACTGTCTCCCAGCGAGTGCTTAGCTCCTGCATTTGCACTTTGACCCAGGAAGAGTCATCACGACTGCCTTCTATCAGCTCCCTTGCAGAGCGCTTCAGAGCCTGGACACTGCTTGTTCTTTTTCCCAGCTCCTTCTGGAAAACCTAGAAACCATCAAATACATTTGAAATGTTTAGCTTATTAAGGCACGCTTATGTAAAAAACAAGAAAAAACTACTGGTTACGAAAAGAAATGAAAATACGGATTTATTTCTGTCAAGAGTAACTCCATTTAAGTGATGCAAAACACCTAAGTTCTACTTAATATATCCCACAGGAAGATATTAATACTCTCTTCTAACATAATAAAACTGGAATATGGTAGGAAAATGTCAGGCAGATCCCAAGAATCCATTCTGGTGCAATGCATGGGAAATTTTGTCTCCTTACCTCTGCTGGCTTTCCATTCTTTACCAAAGCAATGGATCTGACATGGATTAAAGCATAAGACTGCTGTGGCAGGAAAAGATCAGATAAAAAGCTAGCAATCAAGGAGAGGGTTTAAAATCATCCAAACAGAAATAAATCCCCATTTGGGGGTCTAACTGTAAGATTGTGGAACTTGCTGCTTATTCATATATTTATGTGGGAGTATGTTCATATTATTAGATTGAACAAGCTCCAGTTAGTTAAAAGAAGCTCTTAAAAGTAGATAATTAGAGTGTGCTGTGCCACTGACTGCAACTTACTTGTGATAGACAGCAAGATTTCAGAACCAACTGAAGCATAGTGCAGGCTTATTTTTATAGACAACCCATGTTTTCAAACACATTTTTTTGAGGCCCAAAATCTCCTCCTCAGTGGATACTGAAAGTGACAGGGGGATGAACAGAGGAACCTTCACCTCGTAATCTTCCCAGGCTGCAGAGCTCTGCCTATGTGTCGCCTTTGCAATACAAGTAACTTCAGCAGCCATTTCTTCTGGCACACTGAACTGCAAAACTGGGATCCAGAGGCAGAGTCCAGCCTCCCACATCCAAAACCACTTCAGTAACAAAATACTGCAGGCTTCCGACACAAGCTCCCTGGGCCATGTTGAAATCTGTGTATAACTTTAGCATTGTAATTACTCTTCTCAATAAATATACAGCAGCCCCACAGGTCTGAAAGGCTGCTGAAGTCATGGCAAGTACACTGGACATTTAGTTAGCAGATAGACTAAAAAAGACCTGTCTGCCCCAGAGTTTTCCAGTAAAATTTTTGCCATCTCTTGCCCCTTAACACACATTTGCAAATGCATATTTGTGATTTATGACATGATGTTAATAGATACACAGCACAATAAAACAGAATATCTCAATGCTAACTGGTATTAATGAGTCACTAAGAGTTGTTCTCTTTCAGGTATGTTTTTTTAGCATTTTCTATTGTTGACTATGTGTTACAAAACTATTTCATATTTCTAAAAATTACAGAATAGTGAAAGATGAAGATAGTATTAAAATGCTGCAATTATGAACAGTCCGGTAATTAAAAACCAGAATTTTTGGAACTACCTTGTGGTTGTCAATCAGATTCATTACTAAATCAATGTCTCCATGCACTGGTTGGTCTTCTGCTAGCTGAGGTTCAATCTTGTATAACCAATCAATGAGAGCTTGCAGAGCATCAGTGAACTGTCCTGAAAATAGCAGGGCTTCCTCCAGTTTATTTTGTCTGTGAGGGGAAAAAACAGCCAAACAACCACACATGCATAAAATAATCATTTATACACTTCAGGAAAATATTTTCAGCTTAAAGTAACAGAATCATGAAAGTGCTAAGGTTGGAAAAGACTGGTAAAATCACTGAGCCCAACCACTGTTTCAGCACCAGTACGTTCACCACTACATCATGTCCCCAGATGCTAAATCCACACACATGCCTTTTGAACACTTCCAGGGATGGTGACTCAACTACTTCCTTGGGCAGTCTGTTTCAATGCCTCACAACCCTCTCACGGAAGAAATTTTTCATAAAATCCAGCCTCAACCTCACTTGGTGCAATTTGAGGCAGTTTCCTTTCATGCTGACATTTGCTGCCTCGGAGAAGAGATCAGTCTCACCTGGATGCAGCCTCCTTTCAGGCACTTGCAGAGAGCAGTAAGGTCCCCTGAGCCTCCTTTTCTCCAGGCTGAACACCCCCAGCTCCCTCAGCTGCTCCTCACAGGACTCGTGCCCCAGACCCTTCCCCAGCTCTGCTGCCCTTCCCTGGACTCGCTCCAGCCCCTCAGTGTCTTTCTCACAGTGAGGGGCCCAGAACTGGACACAGCACTCCAGGTGTGGCCTCAGCAGTGCCCAGTACTGGGGGACAATCACTGGTCCTGGTCCTGCTGGCCACACTACTGCTGACAGAGGCCAGGATGCCACTGCCTTCCTGGCCACACCTTGGCTCATGTTCAGCTACTGTTGACCAACACCTCCAGAGAAGTGCAAATCAAGTTTCCCTTTTTTAAAGGGCTCTTCCTTCCACTTCCTCCCCAGCTCTTTGACCATACCATTAGAAAAATACGCATTTGCAGTATTTTACTGCTTTGGCATTCTTAATTATCAAACAAGCTAGCCACTCTGGTTCTACTTCTACACAACAAATTCCAAAAATAGAAGCCTTTTTCTTATTTGATGAGTAATTAGTTGAGTTTCATTTACCTTTCCACTGACTTTCCACAAATTGTATCCCATTTATCTCTTAGTTCACTCAGCATGTCATCAAGTTTCAAATTGTCATCAGCCAAGGTGGTTTTCTCTTTCAAGGAACGTCCAGTCCTATTCGTGGTATCATACACAGAATGTTTGGCACCAAGAGATTTCTGGAATTCCTATATATTTATATGGGAAAAAAAGAAAATATCCATGTATTATTAACTGGTCATTGTTAATTAGTTTTTGACACACTATTTTTAACATAAATTGTAAATGTTACTGCAAGAATAATTTAAACTTACTGCAAAATTTCTGTGCTAGTGCCACAGTGCACCTGGGGCTTGACACTAGCAGACCCCTGCCTTTTGTCCTCTTCTGGAACTGTAGCTCTATGCTTACTGGAACAACTTCAGGAAAATCCCTCCTTCAGTGAGGGCAATGATTCCTGTCTTACCATAATATTCCCGAATGTCAGCCTAGTAGTCAGAAGGATGTGAAAAACTGCCACTTTGGGGGCCATTAACTGAGCATTCTTTGCAATACACTCGTACAAACTAAGATTTCAAGCCACTTGTGGAGCTCCCCAAGAGCTACAAAGGTTATTCTGGTTTAGCTCAACATGGACAAGCTGGGAAACCTTTGAGCAGCAGCAGCAGCAGCAGCAGCAGCAGTCAGGTAACATCCCAATAACTCCATCTGTGCTAGAAGTAAAAATCCCAAGCAGGTTTCTGTGCCCCAGAACTTTGGACAATGACAGCGACAGAGTCTGCCTGCCAGCTCCTTTTGCACAGACCCTCTGGAAGCTTTTCACAGGCCCAGAAGAGCACAAGAAACACAGTTCATCTGATATCACACAGGAATTAACTGACTGAGTAAATAATTAAATAAAGGAACACTGCCAAAAGACAGCACCAGCCCAACAAGGCAGCTTTTGAATTGGAGCAATGCTTGAAATGTTTTATTTCACACCGACATGAATTGCTAGCAGGGAATCAGTTGAAAAAAAGCAAATCACAAGTTTGCTTTAGAAAACCCTTATATATAGCATCAAATGTTTGGGGTTTTTTTGGATTTTTTTTTGTTACCAAAAAAGCAATATTTGTTTTGTAATTTACTATTCCCTTACTATTTTTTGATTTTCTTCATATAAAACAAGAAAACAAACTTTAAGAAAAAACTTAATTGTCAAGCTAGGATTACAGTAAAAATAAATACAATTGTCAAAACAACCAGTTTTTTTATAACAGTACCTTCAATACAAAAAAATATGCCTATGCTTCTTTTATTTGATGGATTTTTTTAACTACTGAACACTACACAATGACACTAGGTTTGCACAAGGAAACACAATTAAATTGATGCCACAGGAAGATCAAAGAGGAAAAACAGATTTAAAGATGGCGAAGGGTTGCAGTTAGTTCATTCCCTGAGACTAAACCATATCTACTTTCATTTGACTTCAGGTATAACTGAGAGTAGATTTTGGTTTAAGCTGCCAGGAACAGATATGTAAGTTAATTACTTAGATTTTGTTCAGCTGGATACCTTCCTTCTAAGGAAGATGGGCACATACTGATAAAATTAGCCAGGTTCATATAAATGTACTGTAAGAACTCTAGCACAGGAATGGATTGGGTGACCTAGTGCGGGTTTTTCCATTCCTGATTCCTAAAAATGAGAAAAAAATTCCAATAAACAGACCATGAATAACCCCCAAAAGTCCCTGGCAACATGATAGATATGAGTGAGAGAGAAAACATATTATCTTGGCTTTTCTTTTTCAGGGACTTTTTTTTTGGCAGTAACAACTGGCAAAAAACGGGTCCAAATTATTTCTTACAGCACACATTTGCTGGGATAGCAAAATTCTTAACTAAAAGGAGCAAGGAAACCTTCAAGGCTGGACAGAAAAGACAAAGACAGACACAGGGTATATGTGGGAGTGGAAGGAAAAGACTCAAAATACAAGGAAGGACATTGCAGTGTTTGGGAATTTTAAGAACTCATTAAAAAACAATTGAGTTGATTTCTTGAGAGGGTGGTGTTTGAAGTTTAAAGTCACAAAGTTCACCACATTTATCTTTTTTCTCCAGATCACCAGTTTCAATCCTTATGTGCCTGTACCAGTTTCATCCCATTCCTTAATGAGATTCAAGCAACTCAAGCAGTAATGCTCTGCAGGCTTTTTACTTGAGAGAAGCTGCAGAAAAGACATCAGTAACAGAAGTGATGAGTCTGCCAGTCCATTTGAGGAAGCTTGGTCTCATAAAACGCACTGCTGCACATATAAAGTGCATATCAGGTTTAAAATTTCTGAAGATGGGATGAGAATACAGGTAGGGAGTCCTGAAAACCTCAAAGCAAAGTCACAGTGTTGACCATACTGCTGAGGAATTTGAATATGTAAAGAAAAGAGAGGAGTGAAATGATTAGAAGATTAGTAAGACTCAGATTATCATAACAGCAAGATCTCCCCCTGCCAGTTCAGATCACTGATTTCAAATTCTGGCAACAGCAGCAATCCCAAAACAAACTGAAATTGCAGAGTTGGCATATCGGAATGTTAACGTAGGTTTTATCTAAAGGTTTTAACAGCAGACACAGGTAAAACTATTTTTTCTTGACCAACTGCCAGCTCTCTCTGTATTAAAGGAGAATGTTTTCCTGGTTGATAAACAACGTCATGCAACCTGAGAGATGATAAAAAAAATAAACCAGACTAAAGAAGTCATTAATAGACATGACAAAATTTGTCAGTGGTAAAAGCAATCACCAGAAGCTGCAGTGAAAAGAAAAAATTAGGCAAACCCCTCAGGATATTGTGAAATATGAAAAAAATAGGAATAAATGGAGAACAACAGAACTGACATAAAACTGACATAAAAAGTAAATATGTGCCAAAATGTAGAAAACTGAATGATCTTTCAATATTCTAGTGTTTGATGAAACTGCCCCAAGAGAAATCTTAAGACACAATCATATCTGAACATCTTAGCACTCATCCACTTGATCCTCAATAATTTATTATTCTAGGCATTTTACAGAAGTCAAAATGAAGTAAAGACTACTTCTGTCTTTGCTTTTGCTCTGTGTCAGATGGAATTACAGAGCTTTATTATTAGAGCTTATCATTACAAGTTTGAAAAGCCAAGTGAATGAGAGAGATTTTTACATTCACAGCTGAATTTCTGAAAAAATGGTTTCAAAATTTTGAATCCAATAAAGAGAAATATGGGAGCAGTATTTGCTCTAATACTGTCAACAGTGTTTTCTAGGGGATTTCATTAATATTTCCACTTGATATAAAAAGCAACTGCCAATCAAAACACTTGATTAAGATTTGATCTTGATTAAGATTTTTCACTTTTTCACTATTTTTCACTTTTGAAGATGTCCTGTAGTATTAAAAGAAAAATCTCAACCCAAGTAAGTGGATAGTAAATTTTTGGTTTAAGAACTTAAAGAAACCCTCTTTAGAGATCATTTTCAAGTTTCCATGGTGCTGTATTATTCTTTCCTCTTCATTTTTAACCATTCCCCCACATATCAGGTACTGTGAAAAGTTCTTTTCATTCACACCCTGTTAAAACACCACCATTTAATTTGATGTGAATAAACACCCCATTGCAGTAAGGTCACAAATCTACTTTCACTGCTGATTGAACAGTACAAGTCTGAACGACTTACATACGTTTCATTGGGAATTTTGTGTATAATGACTCACCTTATGCTGTGCAAGCTGCATCTTTATTTTGTCAGGGTCATTTGCAATTTCAAGATCTGAGTCCAAAGATTTCTCTGATTCTTCCAGCCATTCCATAAGTTTATGCCAGGCTTCATGGAACTAAAGGAAAGTCAGATTTGCATGAACTTTAAAATTCACTTGCTGATTAAACAGTCTAAAAGCATTAAACCCCAAGCAAGCTTTGACAAAATTTGATGTTTTTCTCCTTGGTCTCTTAAACAGAACAGGTCTAGCCATGTGCTCACTGTATTTAGTCTCCCTTCCCCAAGTGAGTGCACACATCATATGTATCTGTCAGAGACATATTGGCAACATCTGTCGATGTGTTGGTCATTCAGATTCCTACAGTTTAAGTAATGGATAGTAAATACAGAAAGAACAGGGCTTAGCTATTGCTTATATGGGACCATGGCAGTAAATCACTGGGGAAAACTTCCATCTAGATGACTGCCCAAGATGTTCCCTGTAACACTCATAAAAGCTCTCATTATATCAAACACTATCTTGATGAGCAGGGAACAGATTTTTGATCTTCCTTCCTATTTCAAAGAAAAGAACACTTCAGGGAAGGAAGTAGGGAAAAAGTAAAGATTCAATCAGCTTTCACACAGTGTGTCATCCGTTTGGGTTTTGATTTTTCGAAGCTGGTCATTTCTCTCCCTCTTGAAAATTCTTCTTGCCTGGGCTGCCTACACATGGAAGCACAAGAAACTAGTTCAGAAACCTTGCAAGGCATCTAACACACTTGTTCAGGGCTTTTGCTTAGGCCTTGACACCAGTAGCCTTGAGTACTCCTTCCACGCTACACACACACAGTTACCATCTTATAACACTGCAATTAGCTTTTAAATGCATATTGAGATAAAACCCATCTCATTGCAAAACTGCTGCGTGTGTGAATGCACATGAGAAACTGCTGGAAAATAAGAAACATGGGATTGGCTTATGGGCTAATTAATTGCCCAAAGAACTTCTTGCTCTATGAGCTGAGTGGTGGTATTGGTGAACATTGGAACGTGGTTTAGCTGTGAACATCACAAAATCTTGAATGACCATGTTCCCTTGAACAGGAAGGAGCTAGAACTTCCTCTTGATATTTAAACAGGTTACATTCCTCTCACACATTTTGCATCTTATATTTATATTCCTCGTTGAGAGAAACATGTATCCAAGAAAAAATCCACAGATGCTTCCAACTAAAGAAAACTTTGCAAACAGCCCTGCTCCCCACAAAAAACAACCTCTCCAGGTTTATAAGGAAATAAATGGAGATCTCTTACCACACAGAAGATATTGGTCTAGTAACTAATAGAAGAGATTGAGTGGTAAGTGTTGAGTATAATCAGGACACAACATAGACCCAAGAAGAAAATACTAAAGAATACTCCCACAGATTAGTGAAAAGGGTTCATCACATTCTTTAAAATATACAAACTTGATTATGAAACTTCTTTTTGAAGACAGATGGCACTAATACACATCTGGAATCCATACTGTAACTTTCTTTTTTCAGACTATCCTGTACTGCAGACAGAAGTCACTGCTTGGGTTGAAAATGATGCTTTCACCTTCCAAATGAAGTGCTCTGGGATTGAATCACAGAAATCACTCCACTAACTCAACACTGTCTTGTACACTAAACCTAGGCTTGCTTTTTAAAGCATCATATTCTTCAACAATCTGGATGCAATTACAACTAAGTTCAAAGAGCTGTATAACAGCTGTTGTCCCATTACCTGTTTGGCTCTTTTCCTTGCATCATCCAAAGCTCTTCCCCTTTCAACCAAGCGTTGGACTACTTTTTCCCATCGACTCTGTACACTAATCAACAGATTCTTAATAAGGACAACGTCCTGTTTCTGGCTGAAATATTTCAAATGGGTTCCAGTTTTGTCCAGCTCTATGATCTGATCTCGATGAGAGTTCACTTCTGTGGCAAAAACCTTGGAAAAAAGGGTGAAAATTACTGAATGCTGTATTGGGTAAACACTGAAAAAACCCAGTCTGATAAAGAATGATGTAGTGAGAAAGACAATAAAATACAATTTTAAAACAAATTAAATGTTTCTCTGAGTGCCAGCATTATAGGGTTCATTTGGACATTGTTACAGTATCTCCACAGAGTGGGAGAAAAACATTACACATCTGTTTCTTTACATACCTTGTGTTCATCAATTTGAAATAAGACAGTGTCCAAGATAAGACTTGGCCGAGAAGCTGCAGTTAGAGTCTGCTCAGCCTGAGTAAGCCAGTTGATGAAATCTTGAAGTGAGTTGTGGAACTCCATTGCTAAATTGAGGGCTTCTTCCAGTTTGGTCTGTAAAGACAGGTCATACTTTATTAGCAGCTGATACTGTGCAGGGGCTCCAGCCAAGGAAACCATTTTAGTTCAGCACTTTGGAGTAAACCATTTTAGTTTAGCATTTTCAAACACTTTTCCAACTCAAAGTTTCTGACTTCTAAAATAACAGCCTATATTTGAGCATGTTCAAGGAGATGGATACAGGAGTTACAGCAAAATTATGTATAACAGATGAATAGAAAATACAGCGCCTAGTATCAAGGTAAATTTTACCACATTAGAACAAATTTCCTACTACTTAATCCAAATGGGACATTCAGATTTATCAAGTTCAATGCAAAACCAGTAGAATTTCAGAAATCTAAGGTGGTAGCGCACTTGGAAGAGCCTCAAGTAGATCATCAAATTTATGCTCTTACATTTAATGAAGAATATGTTTTCCTAGAGCACTTCTTTTTAATAATGCCCAGTTATCATTTTGGTTGCCTGAACAGAAACTAATTTGGGATACAAAACTTTGTTGATCATAAGACAGCAGTCAGAGATTTTCAAACATTTGCACTGCTGAGACTTCACTGAGCACTCCAACCTTACAGCTTCCTGCAAGAAGGTGCTCACATTGGGCACTAATTAGTTTGTAATTTTTACTTTATTAGTACCTTAAGAGACATCAGCATTATAACTTTAAAATACAGCTAAGCTGTGAGTTAAATATTTGTGCTTTATACTTATCAGGTCTGTACAGAGAGTTTCTCTGTTTGCAATCATGGGTATCCTTTTTGTTTGATTGAGTTAGAACAAGTGGACTATATTTCGTGAAGGAATGAAAGCCACATGAAATTAATAACAAGAAAACGTATGTTACATATCAGCAAAATCATGCTATTGATCTGTTAGAACAGAAGGTAGTCACTTGAAATAAATGGCAAAAGGCCAAATGTTTGGGAATTTAAAAAAAAAAATGGCTGAAAACTAGGAAAAATAACACACCAATTCTTTACTGAGGAGGAGATAAACTTGAAGGATCATTTGGTCTCTTGTGTCTACGATTATTGCAATAAAACCTAGAAAACCCCTAGTCCTACCAAATGAGCACAGTATCAGTTAATATATTTATATGGAACAGACTTGTGCCATTCTCACCATACTCCTGCCCAGCTATGGATAATGAACTTCTTGAATATTATTTTCCCCAGTACTTTCTAAACATATTACTGAATTACACCAGTCTCTTCAACTGATTTTAAATCTAAAAAATCAGGCAAGTATGCATCCATAAAAGCACTGATTATTAGCACACTTAAATGCATGATTTACAGTTCAATTTTTATGTAAAAACACATACTTTTCTTTCACTGAGTTTTGTTTGCACGGATTCCCATTTTTCTTTTAAGTTATTTATGTCCTGCTCAACGTTTGTTTCAGCAGATTCTGGGCATCTTGCAAGCATCTGCTGGCCTTTCTGCATTAGACACTTGTATGTCTCTTCTTTGGCCTCAAAGGCAGCACAAAGTTCCTAAATAAAGAAAGAACCAGAAAGGTAGAAAGTCAATACTCTTTATAAATACCAGTATAATATTTATTCCTCTCCCCAAATTTAGCAGGTATGAGTAAGACTAATAAAGAAAATACATGTAATTTGTAAAAAGTCAAATGAGAAAATGAGGGACCCAGTTCCTCAAGAAATGAAAACTTGTATTGCCTGTCAATGTCTTTTCTGAGATTCAAAGATTGGCAAAGTAAGTACTATGCATTTATTGAAAAAGAGTTGCTAGAACTTGGTTGGTTTAAAGTCCATCTGTAGCCAAAACACAAAATGTGTCAGCATTACACAGCATGCAGAAAGCCCAGACCTATCCAATACCCTTCAAAAGTGGGTGGGACAGCTTGGGAGGGCTGGTTTATTGTACATTGCTGTATCTTCCTTCACTTGCTAGTCATGAGCACTGAAGACATTTCAGACATTTAAAGAAAGCTGTAATAATAATGATAACAACCTGTTAACTACTCTAATAATGATGTTTTCTAAATCATGTGAAAGGCAAGCTGTGAAAAGTCTGGGAGCTCCCATGCATCCCTCTGACTCAAAAAGTCATGTTCAGTATTGGTAACAGAGAAATCAAAATGAAACAACAAAGTTGCTGAAGACTCATAAATAAGGAACATCTTCACAAGGAGATGAGGACTAAGTGGTTTGCAAATAAGAAGAAAATATTTTTTCCCCTGATTCTCAGGACAAGAGCCCAAACAAAACTTTTTTTTAGAGTTAGGGGATACTGTACTCAGGTTTGTACCTGACCACAGGGGCAAAGCAAGAAGCAGGTTTATTCATTAATTTATTATTCATTAACATTTTGACACAACAAAAAGCTGCTTGGTTTTCTTTCTGAGGACTATGGAAAGTGGTGTCACCTGGTCTGCTTCCTGTTACTACTTCAGGGAGAAACTGGAAACAATGATTGTTTTAAGAAAAGAAGAGGGATGGTCTGAGCAGCACTGGGAGAGCTAAAAAGGTGTCTTTTAAAGCCCCTTTCCTACTCATATCCTGTAACGTCTCCTCATATCTTTTGTTTTCCTGGAGCTGCTTTAACTGGAAATGCAGCCCAATCTCAACACTCATTAGTGAACCAACTGTGGTTGAGATTCATTTATTCATATCTTTTATTCATACCTGTAGAAACAGGCCCTATACTCAAGAACATAGTTCATAACATTGTTTCCAAAGAGGAACAAATCAAAATGTAGTGCAAAACTATCTCCTTCAGTTTCACATCAGTAACTAACATAGCTGGTATCACTTAGAGACAAGTTTGAATTTGGAAAGTAGTAGACAACATGACAAGTGCCCTCAACATTTCAGAGGAAAATAAATACATAAAATGAGGGAGAAAATTAGCACATATCTGCACATGTTCATTAAACTTTAACCAAAAGGAAATCAAAGTTCTGTGCTTTAAGGGTTGATAGTAAGTCAATGCCTGCAGATGTCCACCAGGATAGGAACATCTTGTTAAAATGTACATGTACAGGAGGGATTGTACATCTAGGATGCATATTACTGGGGACAGTCAGACTTGTTCTGACTACAACATTGAATTAAAAGGCCCTTTAACTAATCAACCTGTAAACATTGTAAATGCAGAAAATTTGTATAGCAAGGAATATACAAAAAGAAAATCCTGAAGCTTTCCATGGAAAACTTTTACATCTTGATCTAAGTGCAGGATGAAAAAGGAAAGACCACCACTGACTTTCAGGGAATCATGATTACAGTCCACTGTCACAAAGGGAGAAAAAACCCACCACCTATTTTCCCCCCCTTTTTTCCTTAATGATAAAAAGAAAGGATTACAGGGATTCAAAACCACAAGATTATTTCTGTTTGGATCTAATTTCCTGTCTTAACTGATTTTAAAAATGTAAATTAGTTTCCTTATCAATTATATATACTGGCAAATTTTTGAGGACAAAAAAGAAGGAAAAAAAATGTGCCTCATGTTGGTAAGCAATGATCTTTAGCACAAAAAAAAATCTGATTTTTTAACATTATGACAATGAAGCATTCTAATTGGTAGTGTCAGGTCAGGTGTATTCCTGCTCAAGGACAGTTCAGTATCACTGTTACATCTGAGCCAGGAATTTAGAAGTTCAATCACCAGGTTTGGGCTTATATCCTGGACCTAATAGCACATCATGATTTTACACAAATGGAGCAGTAAGAACCACCTTCCTTAGAGATAAGAGATCAAGTTTAAGTGTCTTTTTTAAACACTACGGTTCTATGGGAGCAGAGAAATCCACAGAACGTTTCTTAAAGAGAAAGAAAGGGAACAATTCAGGCATCCTGGTCAGCTTGCCATTTCTAATTAAAGCACAGCCTCTATGAGCCAGTAGACCTTCTTACTTCTATGCTAATGATGACTTTATTGTCAGCTTCAGTTAGATAAGGAATAAAGGATCAAGTCTCTTAAGTCAAGGTTCAGTGAATGTGGGCCATTTTCAGATTAATCTTCAAACTTTAGAAAAATCATAAATTTAGTTATGGGATCAGAAGGGGAAAGAAGAATAGGAATCACTGAAAAATCTGCAAACACCTTTTGTAAAGATGCAAAAGTTGTTTTATTTGTCTCAACACTAATAATGTTTCAGCTTTGGGCATGTCCCAACAGGCTACTAAACTACACTGTAAATAACAGTGTTGTTTTGAAAGCTATTAAAGTTCTTTAAGACACTGTACAGACATTGTGGTATATAGAACACACAACATATTTACCAAAAACACTCTTAAAAGATAGTTAGTCTTGAAATGCAATTTGCAAAGCATTCTAACACTTATACTTACCATATGTGCATTAAGCTGCTCTCTTGCTGTTTCTGGTAAGCCTCCAACAGGTTTTGATGTCAACAGCTGACGTTCAGTGTCTGTCAGCCATTGCTGCAGATCTTCAACTTCACCATGGAAACCTTGAGCCTAAATTATACCATATCATTTTAGAGATAACTTACATGTTCTCCATTCCAATACCAGCTCAGATGCATAAGCACATTGTCAGCTGGTTTATTCAGATATTTGTAATAATCAAAGGAAATTAAAGAAGAAAAAAAAAATAAAAATAAAAAGAAAAAGAAAAAGCAAACACACAAACTGGCTCAATTCAATTCAAAGGATAAGAACAAAAACCATAGAAATCATGAAAGCAGTCAAAATAACTACTGGGAGACCAATGTTTTCCCTGAATAATACACCTACACAGAAATTTCATCCTTCACAAAAATTTTCAGACCAAAAGCTGAAGTCTTTCATCAGCACTGTAAAGGACAGTGTCCAGCCATGAAAGATACAGCTGGATTCAAACTTTCTCCAAATTCAGAAGTGTCTGTATCATAGTTTTGATTTAGGCCAACTTCTAATAGATGCATCTGTGTATTTCATGTAAAAAAGACACTTTTTCTGAGTTATGTCTATATTTGATCATTTCCTGTTCACCTGGATCAAGGCACTATCCAGCTGCTGTTTCCTTTGTTCTGTTTTTTCCAACAACTTTTGCCAGCGCTGATTCAGGAGTTCCAGCTTGCTCCGTAAATTACTTGCTTCTTCAACAGCACTTGATTCAATCAGGTCATTTCCTGCTTTTTTAACAGCTTCCACCGTAGACTGATGGGCGAAAACATCATTTTGTAGCACCTACAATTGTAACACAGCATGGCCATATTGGTAAGTTACTGAATGAAGGCACTCACAGGGATTGAGCCAGTTGTAGACCAAAGACAAGGCAATAGTTTAACATCAGCACAGATATCAGAAATTAAAGCTAATAACTAAGACCTCTTCATTCAAAAGCAGTAAAATACCATTCTGACAAAATACTGAATTTTGGGGTTTTTTTTTTAATATCGGAAAAAATAATATATTCCTTCTGAAAGCATGTATTTCTGAAATTATTAAAGGTTTTTACTAGTGCTAGGGAATAATTATTCCTTCACTTTTTAAATTAATTATATACTTTCCTTTAATGGGATTTTTCTTTGAATACTATGTGCTTGCTGTGCTATACAACAACCCAGCTGCCACAATGTCTTCTTGTGCATTTCACGGCTGTAACTCTTTTCTTGTTATGTCAGGCTACCAAGACACTTGACCTATGCAAAGAACTGGGGGATGGTTGTAGTACTAAGGCCAAAAGACCTCCTCCTTCTGCTGTAAAACCTCTTATCACCAACCACAGTAAAAACCATAAAAGGCAAAATGTACATTTGGGAAAAAAATGCTGTTTTCACGAGGATGTGGGGTAGGGCAAGAAAAGCTTTAATATAGAACAGAAGAAGAAATACACAAAATGGTTGAGAAGAGAATGGTAAACCCTGTCTAAGAAATTCAAGTTTATGATTGCTGTCTTCCTGGGATCTGACTCAAACTCATCTCCATCAAAGTGCTAGCATATGGAAAAAATATAAAGCTAAATAAAAAGGAACTTAAAAATAAACTCAATGGAGCACAATACGAAATAGCAAGTCACAAGTAGACCTTGAATACAAAATATACATCACATTTACTTTAATTCTTCTAAGCTAAGAGCTAGATTATTTTATTTTCCTGACAGGGTGAAAAAAGGTATTCACAGAAGCAGATGCATCTTATCCCTTCCTTCCTGCTGAGACTCACTAAGAACAAGGTCTATTCTTTCCTAAGTTATTCAAGAGGTGGATGTTTTTACAGGCTACCACAGGATGCACTACTGTGTGAACTTTCTAACCTATAAACTCTGTATTATGAAAAGGAAGTAGATTCATTCATGTGTTTGCTGAACTCCTTCAGTACAGACACAAATGATGCCTCTATGCCTCTTCACTAGTAAAACACTTCCATTTGATAAGAATATAAAAGGTTCATGGAGCAGAACCTATTTTTGTAATTTTATTTACTGTTTTAAAAGGGTCTGTTTATAAAAATAGGGTATGCACATAAGGTATGCAGATACTGTATTCTGTTCAAGTTCCAACTGACCACCCAAAAGCCTTCAGAAGCTGCATAGCTGCATTAACACAGACAATGAAAATACCTTAATTATCTGTGTACTGTCAATTTCAATCAATTCTCTCAAAATCCAAAATGGACTCTGAGTACTTCTTACATCATATGCAGGCCAAAAATTAAATGGCAGTTTTAAAGGGAGGGGAGTTACATGGTTAGATTGAAATCTTCAAGTCTAGAAAGAACATGTTGTTATGAAGAGCACAGTTACACACAGAGGCAGAGAAAATCTCTTACTCCTAGGAGATATTCTAAAAATAAAGGCATGGTAGAAGCATTCTTCCATGGGCTCCAAAATAACAATGATCAGTAAAAATACTAAAACAAACAAACAAAAACTCTTTAAGCCTACACTGTAAGTAACACTGAGAAAAAGATGTGAGTCTGCACAGATTTTCAGAGAAGCATTTTCCATCTTAGCAGAACCCAACTGACACACAATTTTGCAGAATTCAGAATAAATCACTATTTTCTGAGAGGGAAGAAAGAAGCAAAGATATGCAAGAGTTGTGCAGTTTCTGAGACCTGGCTTAAACAGAATTAATCAAGGAGTTTATTGCTTCAGGGAGAGTAGCAGGTTCAGTAACGTTTGAATTCCCTAGGTCAAAGAAAGGTGGTTAGAGGTGGAGACTAGGGTAAGTTGTTTATTTTTGGCTAAAACCATACCATATGCAAGAAAGGTAGGAATGTGGAGGACTAAGAGGAAAGATATTTATTCCAAGCCCTCATTTCAGCTATAATCTGCATCTTGAAACTATACGTAGAGAATTATTTATCAAATGTGAAGTTTTACTAATAAAAGACTCATCCCTAAGATAAATATCGAAAGAACATCCTGGTTAATACTGATTATAATTACATACATGATGTTTGGCAAGTTCAATTTCAATAGCCTTGGGGTCTCCACCCACGGGTTTCTGTTCATTCAGCAAGTCTTCTGTGTGCGTCAGCCATGCCAGTAACTCATCCAGGGCATGCTGGAACTGCCCCAAGGCTAACAAGGCACCTTCCAGCTTGTGCTACAGTAAAAATAAAGTTAACAATAAAATCATTTCACAATGCAATTGAATTGTCTTACATTACCATTAGTCACCATAATCCAGAGCAGAGTCCATGCATAAGACAGAATAAAAATCAGGGAGAAACAGCTACCCAACACAGGCAATGCTTTATAACTACAGCTGAGTTAGCAATTCCCTTGAAAAGCCTTGCATTCCAGGCTCTAATTCCTGGCCTTGGAAGAGGCCATACAACCAGAATAGAGTTAAGGTTGAAGGGTCTTTCATCAGATGTATCAGTAGCTTTTTATCACTTAAAACATATTTTCAATATAAATGCACTTTGGTGCATGATCCTTTTAAAATATTTTTTTTGTCATGAAATGATTCTGTTTAGAAAAAATGGCACACTTCAAAGGATTCTTTCACATCTCTCAGCTTGATAGTTAACTATCAATAGTTAGGAAATAACACTGAAATAGTTTAATATTAATGGGGTTTTATTCAATTGTTCAGTTCAGCAGCTACTATTACCTTTGCACATATAAACACATTTTCAACTCCTACTTAAGACATCATCAAATAAACAAAATTAAATCACAGTCATTCAACACAGCATTACTGGCAGAAAATTTAAAAAGGTTTAAAAATGTTTCAAAAATTCAACTAATTGAACAATTCACATCCTATTATATATAGTTTTTGTAGCTTCCAAACTAAAAGGAATGTGTAAATTAATATAAGCATTATACATAACAAAGAATTCCTCACAAACATCTAAGTCATTAATAAAGTCCCCACCTCCCAAGCTTATTTACCTGTCTACTTATAATTTTGTCTTCTAGGCTGTCCCACAATAGTCTGAGCTCTGAGAGAGGGTCTTGAACAGTGTGCTTGTCACTCTCTTGTGTTGCCTTCTTGAGCAATAGTTCTGCCTGATGGTTCAGTCTTTCCATTTCTATCTGCTGCTGATAAGCTTCTGTCTTAAATTGCTGTGGTAAATAAAAAAAGAATAGAAATAAATGAAACACAAGTAATGACTACAGAATCATAGAACACCCTCTTTAACACACAATTGGTGCAACAGTCTGAACGCATCTTGTGTACACATGGTCTGAACTATGTAAGGTCATGATTCATTTGAAGTTACATCATAAAATATATAAAACAACCTGCCCACAGCCAACAAAATCTACAAGTGAGCAACAAAACCAAGAACCTTCTCTGATCATCACATATCTCTGCTTTTTAAACATAGCACAACAGCATCCAAACATCAGGAGCATATTCAGTCACAAGTACAGATCCATGCAGAAGGGTTTCTAAGTTAGACTGGAATTTTTATATCCACCAATTCAGGTATTGGGAATGTGATGATCTGAAATGCATGAGCATTCACATAAAAGCTCTAATGGCAGAAGCAAAGCTTTGGAGGCCTTCTCTCAGAGCCTCAAAGCAACTGTTCATGTTAGAAACCAGAAAATGAAAGATCATACCAGAACAATCCTGTACATAGTAATTTCATAGCTTTTGAAAGAGAATGAACGATACTACAAATGTTTTTGAGGTATCAGAAAAAAATAAAATGTAGACTTGCCAAAATTTGCAATAGATTTTTAAATTAAGTGCAGTTTAAAATGAAAAGTTTGCACTGAAATATTTTATAATTTTCATGCAAATTCTTCTTTACTAAAAATTGAAAATTAAAATTGCATTTGACTCTCAAAAGATACTGAATAACACAGAGAAACACAGACAAATAGAAGTATAAAGGAAATAAAGAGCTAGTTCATACCTTAAGTTCCTCCGTTTGCTGCTTCACTGTCTCCAGATCTGTTCCAACTGGGGACATAGATGCTAACTTGCTGCCAGCAATGTCTACCCAGTCAAATAATGCCTGAAAATCACAGTATGATATTTAAGTGTGAGTAGACAAATGCTGTTATTTTTAAAAGCTGTATTAAGTAAAATATCAGGGCTTTTCTTTTTTCCAGAGAAGGTATTGCTGCGCTCTTTCAAAGAAAATAACTTTCCAAGCAAAACCTAGGTTTCTTTGTAATACAATAGAATAACTATGCATGTAACAGTTACAGGAGTGTAAATTCTGCAAGACTGGACTTCTATTAGCAGCAAGATTCTACCAGAATTATTCATTCTGAGTAGCAATCTACTTCTTGTGTAAAACCTGCAATTTTTTACCCTGAAAGGTAAACACAAGACAAACTTTGTTCTACCGTTGTTCGGAGTGAACATGGAAGGTGGTGGATAACACACCTTAAATGAGGATTACAAACAAAATTCTTTCTAAGAAAGCTATTTGTGCAAGGAACATGGAACTACCCATTCAGTACATACTAGGCAGTGAAGGACTGAGCTAGAATGATTTTCTATAGGATAATGCAGAGTGACTTCAAAAAAATAAAAAATAAATTATGTCTCCCCAGTTCTGATGTTTGTGGGTATTTCTTTTGCTCCCGATACAATGCAGAACCCCAAGAATACTCTACACAGATTAAGAACATCTGCATCAAATCTGAATAATTGCACAAGGGGAAAAACACCTCAAACTAGACCCCTTTTCCACCTGCCTGTTATCTGTGGAGATACCATTAAAGAGAAATGCTTAGGACAAATCTTTGGAGCTGCCCACTGCTACATGGCTCCCTGAGAAAAGGGAACCATGCCCAGTATGCTCAAGAGGGTGAGGCAGCTGCAGTTAACAATCTGTCCATAATACTTTTCATATTGTCTATTGAAATGAGTGTAAGACAGCACTCAAATACAGTTCTTTCACAAAGCATCCAGAGAAAAATCCAAAGTGATGGCGCACTGCAAAACAGATGTTGCATTATTATTAAGGAGTGGTCTGCTTCTTGATCTGCACCAAATGCAGAAGTAACTACCCTCAGTGTCATGTGAAATTCCAGTTTTAAAGATTTAATGAACCAGACAAGACAGAAACTCAATCAAGAAAAAACAAACAAACCCAAAACAAACAAAAAAGCTACAAAAAATCCAACAGCACATACAGAGAAAACATCATCATTTCAAAGGATAGGTTGCGTTGGAAGAGACTTTTAAAGGTCATCTAAAGTACAACCCCTCTATTTTTTTTAAACTTTATCAGTTCTAGGAAGCACAATGTACAAGACATCTTAAAACTGCTGGAATATTTGCCTACAGATTTAAAAAGGAAATAATCTTCTAAAGTATTGTGATATGATAAATTACAATGAGTATAACATTTTAGCAACATTATGTTAATAATTTTTTTGCTTAAAATACTCAAATGTTTTACTTATAAGTAAAGTGGAATAAAATTCAAGTGTTTCAACTGTCTTCCACTCAAAGAAAATAGCAGCAAATGAGTATACAGACCTGTACTCTGTTCCTTTCAGACCACAAAGATGTGTCACAACTTTAACCTGCCTTGACTATCAAAAGAAAATGTGAGCAGAGCTACTATGACTGTGTGCTGCCAAAAAAACCTCTGCTCTCATCAACAAAAAAGGAGACATTTTGAATCTAAACACAGTACAATATGAAGACATGAAGAAAACAACCCAACATATGTTTCTTTAATGCAAAAATATCTCAACAAACCAACCCCAACCAATTTTGAGAAAAAACCCTGCCTACTGAAGAAAATAGTCATTACAGCCAGAGTGCATTACTTGCCACCTACCTAATCACATGACACTTTTTACAACAACCACGTTGAATCCCATTGACTCAAGGCTGGGTTAGGCATATCACATCATCTTACCTGTAGTCCATCTTGGTATTGAACAGCTGCCTGCATAGCTTCCCCAAGCTTATCCACACGTTCTTTCCATGTTTTGTTTAATGCATCCCAGGCAGAATTCAGCTGCAAGTAAGCACAATTTACTTCAATAGACCAAGGAATTTTACTGATATATAATGTGCTTTTACCAACACTTCACTGAGCAATAATACAAAAAAACTAAGCATGACCAGTTCAAATTTATTCCATACTAATACCCTTGTCCTCCCTATGACTGCATAAGTAGCTTCTTCCAGAATTCAGTAGAGGTTCTGGATTATAAAACCTGTAAACTTCAGTACTGGTTGAATATTTTTATTAACAGAAATATTACAGTTAATTAAGGAAATACTACTAAATCATTTGGAGTTGCATCACCATAATAAAAATATCTTAAAATAATCATACATTGCTGAACACTGGAGAAATAAAAAATACTTTATAGTCATCCAAACAGGACAGTCTCAGTTAAGATGTCTCACTTGGCATGAACAATATATATCCAAAATTTATTCTAGCATTACTTTTGCAAGAAATAGTCACCTATAATATTAATTTTTTGTAAAACAACAAAATAAAAATCTGTCTTTTACAAAAGTTTTAAACCATGAATCAATGAAATACCACAGTGCATACATTCTAATCTAATTTAAGATTCATTCACTCAAAAGGCAAATCTTGCTTTACCACAAAGGCTTCAGTGGTGTCTCACTTTTGTCACAAAATTTTTATTTTCAAAATTTGTTAGGGTCGTGGGGAATATACCAATTTCAGCAGAGCAAGTTATCGCATTGCAGACCTAAACATCTCCATTTCCCATACCTCATCTATACTCTTGTTGACAATAGGTTTGTCAGGCTCTCCACAAGCAGCTCTCAGCTCAGAGCCAAGGCTCACAACTGCTTCTAGTTCTTCTTGTAGTCCATCAATTTCTTCTTTAGCAGCCTACAAGGAGAAAAAAAGCCAACAATGCCAATACTAAATTTAATAACCTACGCACAACTTGCTTTCAAGATAGAACACAGCAGGATTCCGCCTTTGTTTTCTTTCTAGTCACTTGGACTTACAACTGGATGCTTAAAAAATAAGCATCCCTTTGCAGCATCAGATGAAATCAGCTGACATCAATCTAAATTGTAACAATGGTTTATGATACCATTTTGCATGAGATGGAAAAAACAAACAGGAAGTTTTAAATTAGATTTCTTTAATCAGAGTGCATTCTTTGTCAGAGGTTATCATTCAACCTTCAAACATTTAACTATCAGTATAAATAATTACAGGCTTAGAGGATAATACATTTGTCCACCTTTCATTTAGATGTTACATACTACTTGAGGAATCTCAAGTATGTATAACTTCTGAAAGTCTCAGTGAGATGGTTATTATATACATATTTACAAACAAATAAGGAAATGTAATGAAAAGCACATGTTGCATGCTCATTGCAGTTAAGCACTGATACGTGTTATTAACTGTAGACTCTTGAGATACCATTATTGTACATTTCAACACAATCATCCCTCCTAGTCTTTCCAAAATAATACATTCTCATCTGCATACTGTAAATAAAGTACTTCAAACCAAGAAAATACTTTCTACTGACCTCTGCAGCTTCTTGCTGTTGCTTGACTACAGATGGGTCAACTCCAGGTCCCTCCAGTTCTCGAATGAAGTCCTGAGTATCTTTAATAGTAGCTACAAGAGCCATATGATCACACCAAAACTTTTCAGCTAATTCCATTACATCCAACAGTTTGGCCTCTCTTTCCTCAGTCAAGGTCTGGATGTCTTCCCAAATTAGGACCATTCGGTCTAGTTTATCTTGAACAGCTGAACAACAAAGGAACTAGATTACTACCTTGGCAAACAATTCTTGGTCATAAATCTCTCTACAGCTCTACAGCAGAAACATATGGGTACATTTTAAAACTTAGATTCTAAAATATTTCTTTGCAGAACTCTTTATAATGTTAAGTGGAAACAAACACAATGGCCTTTAAAATAAAATAAAAGTCATATCCACAATGAATTATTTTAAACAAATGCTTTGTTTTTAAAAATCTTAAGCAGCTTCTCAGGAGAATATATTCCAGATTAGAGGTCATCAGAAATGAAGAATTTTATATGCCGCAGCTTACTTCATTTCCACTACATGAAAGTTTTCTCAGTCTATTACCTTTAGCAGACATATCCTTATCAGCACCTTCTGAGCGAGCAATCATTTCCTCCCCTCTCTGTTTAAGTGTCTCATACACGGGCTGAAGCTTTTCCAGATCCACTGACACATTCTTATTCTCACTGATCTGCTCTTTTATCTTCTCAACCTCTGCTGAGATGGAAGGTGGCTGCCTCAGACGTTCAACTATGCGTTTCAGACTCTCAAGAGTTGGATCTATCTTGTCATGAAACTAGGAAGGTGGTAGAGGACAGAAGGAAATGGCAGACAGATTAGAATAAAATAAAACCTAAAAAACCCAAAAACAATAAACTAAAAAATGCCATCTGAAATTATCTTGGAAAAAGATACTTTACATCTCTATACACATATGTATGTACAAACTGCAATACCTCCCTCTAGGCTCTTCTAATATCTAAATTACAAAAATAACCCTGCAAAATGGTAGGTTCTCTCAAATTCAAGAATTTTTCTGTTAAGTTTGGGTCCAGATCTAGGACACTCCCTCTGAGGTTACTATACATACGGCAGAAGCACTTACACTTAGCCCTGTGAAACTCATGTAGTTTGTAGCTTTAGAGAGCCACGGCTTTCTGACTTCCATCATTTTAGAAAGGTACCTTACTATTAAAAATACACATTTTCCTGTTAGGAGAAACATACTGATATCCAACCTCAGATTAAGGCTCTATATGTAAGGTCACACAAAAAGACATTTGTTAGTGGCCAAGCGGTGCTCACTAGTGCACTAAAGGTGCGTTACTTTCTGCAACTAAAAGCACACAGCAGTGTACATACTCTATCCTTCCAAGTTTGGCTGAGCCCAGGCAGGTGCTCAGAAACTCAATTACAGCTATGTTAAAGTGGTTCAGCCTTTAGGATAGGTCCAAATTTAGTCTTTGCTAACTTAAGCTTTTGGATTCATAGAGGTTCCTAAATATCTCACACCACCATGCCCCTTTCTAGTTAAAGAAATCGCTAAAATCGTGGGTGCATTTAATGACTCTCCAGGATCTACAAAAAAGCACTCCCGAGAACATTTGGAAAAGATACTAGAAAAAACACAGCAAAACAAGATTACCTTATGTGAACAAATAGCTACATCCTTTCTCTTCAAAGGAAAGAATATACACAGGCAATATAAATATAATTACTTTTTCCCACCATACAAGCCACTTCAAATCTGACTCTGTGACTAATATTATGGGCGTCAATGTTTTTGTTAGAAGTGTGAATATCATACAAGCCAATAAAATGTGTAGCCTTCCCACATTTGAGACTTCTGAGAAATTGAATGTAGCAACAAAACCTTATAAAAGTCATAAAAACTGAAATTAATTTGGCAATATTTGGGTCTAATTTTAGGACATATATTACATTTTTAAGTTGTCAGTGTATTCAGTGGGTCTCTTTTTACTCAACTTTAACAAACAGAACAAAGTGTTTTAGAACTTAAAAGGAAGAAAATACAAGTAATTACAACCTCTCATTGCAGCTTCATACATTATGTCCTTCCTTTGATACCCAGTGCAATTTAATATAATTTCAAACCTGAAGAGTTAAATAATTACTCTTCAAGGACTGTCTAGACAAACATTGACATAGACATCATAGTACAGAAATCTGATAATATATATTCACATATCTTCATAAAAAAAGATTATATAAAATTATATTCTGTGGGCATTAGAATGTTTTGCTTTGCCATCTGCATATACATTTAGGTATATGAAATGAACCATAAAGTATTGCATAAATAATTCCATAATTTCTCAACATCTGATTATGTTCTAGGTGTTAGCAAAGAATGCATTTCTAATTCTTGCTTTTTGTACTTAGCTGGTCCAACACATTGATGTCTATCACATACAAAACAGGGACTCTAATTCTAAGTAAATATCTTGATTTTTCAAACTGGCAGCTCCACCGATATGGGGAGGACTAAGCATTTATGGAAAAGATCTAAGCAATCTGGCATATTTCAGAGGTGTGAATAAGAAAGGTGTTTAGAATGACTGAAAGTTTATACATTAAATATATATATACATATATAATATATAATATATAATGTCTATAACCAGTTCAAAAGCAGGATGATTTCTGATGTCATTTAGTTTTGCCTCACATTCTTAAACTCAGCTGCAGGGGCTAGGAATATGACATTAATTATAATGACATGACAAAAATTACTTTGAATGTAGAATTGGTAAGGTCTTCAAGGTGTATTTCTTTATTTAGTATTTAAGACCTAAACAGAATATAGCACTTAATTTCCAGTGAAATTTTTTTTTCCAGAGGAAAAAAAAAGGAATTTCCTATAAAAGCAGCAGTATAGAACAAAGAATTTTTATTCAGGTTTTTGTATGGGTTAATGTACAAGGTTTTACTGAGTTCTTTTCTGAATCTGGGGTTGAGAAAAATAATTTCTTTGTAAATTTAATGGCAACTAACCCAATATTTAACATTTGCTAGAACACAACATTTGACAATTCTCTACTGAAGTTCATTTCCTAGGCTGATGAAGCTAGAATATGCAGCTTTTGTGGACTTGACCTGAATTTTATGCTGATGACATTTTGTGAATCTAAGTTTCCTGATAATACTTTTCTGTAATAGTTTCAGCACATTATGTTCTTTGGAGTCTGCAGCAAAGAGCCAATGCCACTACCACTGCTAAAATACCCACTAGTTCTATTGCTAACTCTGTTAACTACAGCTGCTCATTCCTAGAAATAACTATACCCAAGTTAATTGATCAAAAGTGTTATTTGTTTACAAATGAAGCATCAGCTAGTAACAGACCAGTAAGAGAAAACAAAAGTGAAAATCAAATCCCACATTTTTAGACCACTAGAATTTTTACTTCAAAATTAAGAAGCTGTAACATTTTTCAATGTCTGTAAAGTCATAATACTGACCAGTATATAAAATTATAACCCCTTAAGACAGAGAAAAATCAATACCATTAGCAGTGATATGAACATTCACAGACCATTAGGTTGAAAAATCCATATGAAACAGTCGTTTAATCTTGATATATCCATGAAAGATGACAATGTGTATTTTTCCATTGAATGAACCCAATTATACTTTAAACCTTAATTGATACCTGGGTACACTGAGAAATGGCTTCATCCAGTGCCAGTGCTCGCTTTTTGACATCTTCCTTAATTTTACTGTAAAGGGTGTCAGCTGCCACATATTTCTCTTGGATAGAAAAGCCTTCTCCTGGGCTCAGCTCCAGCAACTGAGGCCCAGTTTTGTTCATCTTATCTATATGAGGCTTGTGCTCAGCAATCAGCTCACGCAGTTGCTATAACAAATGAAACAACTTATCAGTTTCTTATGCTTGCACCACCACATTACAACTGTCCACACTTCCAACACATCCAGCTGGCAAGAAATTCCAAACAAATACCTTTCGTCTTAGTGTAAAGCAGAAATGAAGTTAATGACTGCTTTGCCAGTGACCATTCCCATTCCAACACAGAAGTATCCAGGCATAAAACATCAGAACTAGAGACATACTGGAAACACTTCGGTAGGACATATGATTATAAGCAAAATATAAGATGCTAATTATGCATATGATGCTAACAACAGACATTGCCCATCATATTTAGTACCTATAATGACAGAAAGGGCAACGATATTCCAGACATGGGTGTAACACCACCACATATATACTTTTCATGTTGATATTGGTCACTTGCTGCAAAGCCTTTCATTGAAGAACATCACAGAAAGAGATACCAGCATTGCAAGAAAACTAATTCAAATTATCCTTGATTTAAGAAGAGGAAACCCGCACAAGGGAGGGTCGAAGAAATCAGTGAAAAGGGCAAAACAACAGCAAGGGTGATCAACAACAAGCAAGGGTGAGGCCTATCAGCCTTGTTTATCTGTCTCCCTTTCTGGCCACAAGACCCCCCTCTGTCTTTATAACAGCGCTATTATAAAACTTACACAATGTTTAACAACTAATTAATAAGTGAATTATATTTGATCTTATCTGTCTATTCCTTCTCCCAGAAGCGAAAACTGTGCTGAAGACTGTGCAGGGGCTTGTGGAAGTGAAGTGTCACAAGGTGTCTTCCAAGCTGTATAAGGATTTCAGATTTTTTTGCTTGCACTCATAGAACTGACAAAAGGGAAAGGGTTTGCTTTGTGTGAGTAGCCCCATCCTTCCTTCATTTTATTTACTTGCTCATCTCATCTCTCTCTTTTCAGAAAAGTCCCCTTCTTGTGAGGCACTGTCCCCCTCAAGGCTGTGAACTCTATGCATTTCTATCCAATAGCTCCAGTACAGGAATATGAGAGGTGCATGTACTGCTCCTCTCAGCTGAGAATTTGTTTAAACTAATGAAGACCCAGAAAAGAATCTATATCAGTCTCAGTGTAAATAAGTGCTCCTCTCTTCAACTATGGTCCTTCCCCTAAAAAGGAATCCAGATGCCGGCTTTCTTCCTTGCTCCTCCCCAGAAAAGGAGACGTTGAGGAGACTGGGAAGACAGTGGCACAACTCTTCAGTCCCCCAATGACAAAACAGAAATGAAAATAACTCACCCCCATCTCTAACCAGTTACTGTGAATATAACTCAATTTGTACACCTTGCCACCAGACAAGAAAAATAATGTTGATTAGCTTAGAGGACAAAAAGGAGATCATAAGACCAGTTCGAGAATTTTTAGAAAAAAATTTTCTGTAGTTTACTTTTGAGCACAAAGAGATAACTTGACACAAGGCCACAAGAGTGCACATTTCTGGGTCTAAACCTTATGCTAATACTCTGCCAACAGCTCATTTCAAACCAAACTAACTGCATGTTACTCACATAGAATCAACTCTCTGAATTCCACAACTTGGAACAAAGATAGTCATCAGTAAATACATCAGAACAGAAACATTAGGTTCTCATTCACATTGAGACCTACTTTTTTTTCTTATTCTTCTTTTTACTGGAACAACAAATGATTTGGTCTTCTCCATTATCTACTATTGGGTAAACAATTCTATCAAACAAGTGTTTCAGAGTAGATTACATGTTAAAAGTGCCTGACATTAAACTTCTATTTAACAAACAAATCTCAGCTAATGGCATAGCCAGAGGAAAATGCAAAAATAGAAGCTCATCTGAAAGGCTTCTCATAGAAGCAGCATGATTAAAGTACATGAGGAACAATTCTGCAAGTAAAGCAAGCATGATATGGTTCACAGTGACTAATCAAGGTAGTTTGTAAACCTTATGTTATATAGCTAGTCTTAACAGAACATGTTTGTTCATTCTGGACATAATAGGAAGACAAATGAGTGAACCTGGTGTTTACCAGTACATAAGAGTGGTACATTTCATTAGCTGGTCTCAAAGTAAACAAGACTTTGAAGCCAGGGTTCATGCTATCTAACTTGAGTCACTTAATTGAGGCAGCTAAAATAAAAAAAAACACTAGTTAGTCCATGCTTAGCAGGGAGAAACAGGTATCTCCAGTGGCCACACAGGTTTTGCATCTGCCAAAACATACAGGTTTTTAACCTTAGTGGGATGTATCTTATTCCATGTGATACTAGCAGTCACCTATGAAACACCTCCATTTTTATCCAAACTAATTATATATCCATGAAAGAGGACCCATACAGTGGCCAGCACTGTCACCTCTATTTTGTGATGCTAGGGGAAAGAATTATTTATTTATTTAAATTATTACACAGCAAACATTCTTGACATGATAAATTATTATGGGATTGGTACCCAAGCAATCAATTCTTGGCCCTCTAATTGTTCATCTTCCTTAGATAAGTTTAGTTTCAATATTGCCAACAAAACAAAAGCCAAATTTTTTATACATACATAAGATCAGCGTATGTCCATATCTGTACACACAGACTGTACCCCCCTTTTGTTTCTTGCTCCAAAATCCCATATCTGTTCTTTCTGTTTCTGTTTTGGTTTGCTCCAATACTGACATTAATGTGTACTTTTAAATATACTTCTTAACTAATAACATTTATGTGTTCAGTTCTCTCAGTACAATGGCAATTATTACCCTTTAGCCCTCTTTTATGTTTATACATCACTTACTGCCTTCCCCAGAGACTCTTGCTTACATGCACAACTGAAAATTAATCTGTATTATTATTTTAATTTTTTTTTCTTCAACAGAAGAGTATCTCTCAGTTTTAAGAATTTTGCAGAGTACTCCACAATTCTATGCAAAATACTTCCTGGTTTTTAACACTTTCTTTTTCAAAACTGGCACAATGCTTACCCTATGTTCTTCTTGTTGTTGCTTTAATGTTTCATATTCAAGGGCTGGTGCAGGAAGCTGAGAGATGATCATTTCTGTTTCAGTTAACCATGGCCAAAGCTCTTCATAAGTCTCCCAGAACTGGTTAACCAGGGACTGAGCCCGTTCCAGCTGGAGATTTCTCTCTGAGTTCATCTGACAGACTGCATCGTACTTCTGTAAGAGGCTTTCAATTTTTTTCTGTAAAATAATATAAATTTTTTAAAAGTATGTTTTTCCATGTGTCTCTTACCTTCATTTCCGAACATTCTTTGATAATTACAGCACCAATTCACAGTGAATAGAATTTCAGTTTTGATGTTTCCACAGTATCACTTTTTAAGGTAGACAGAATCATCAATGAGGGAGATCAGAATTTGGCAGAGTACTTGCAAAATAATTAGAATACATTTAACAATACTGGTATTTACAAATAACACTTTATTCATAGAGCTCATAGTCAATCTGCAAATGATCTGACTGCAGATCTTAGCTCAACTTCCTTACTGCAGACACTTATCTTCAGTGATGCTTGGCAGAAAGTTTTCCACAGTATTTCTGAATCAAAGCAAGATGAACAATTCACAAAATCTGTTGGGATGTTTAGTTTGGTTTGGTGGTTTTTTTTGGTGGGGTTTTCTTTTCCACTCTGGCAAGATAATAGTATGTACTGTTGTGACTGTCATTTACAAACTTGAAACAGAAACCACGAAACATTATTTTCCAGGTTAGCATACTTTCTTAATGAGAATGTATTACTATTAATAAATAGCTAATAGTGATAGAACTATAGGCTTATTACATTACAAATTTTATGTATTTGGGCGTGTGATAATAAACAAAAGTATCAACTTGCTATACTAGCTATATTTTTCCTATGGAAAACTGCCCATGTTATCATGTTTATGAAATATTATACGTGACAATGCACATAAATCCAAGCCTTGGAAAAACTACATATAAGCAAGACATTGAATGTGAAGAAGCTTTTTGGTTTTTGGCAGAACAAGCTATCCTTTCATTTATTATGTCTTGCATGTAAATTAAGTATAGAGATGCTATCCAGAGGACAGAACATAACCTTAACACGCAGATATACAGTATTTTTGACAAATAAAAATATTTAGTAGAGACTCACACAAAACTGCTCTGCCTTATGACTACAGTTTCAAAGACAGAACATCTCCTCTCTTTTAAATTTGCTTAAGAGCAAATCAAATTTATTCAGAGACCCTGCATACAGTTACAGAATTGAATAAAATTACTGAAGCATTGTTTTTCATGGACTGGAAGGACTGAATCTACACAATATATCCAGCCTCACCATAATTTAGCAAAAAAATCCCAACCCCACAACTAATCCTTCCTAAATGCCCATTAGAAAACCTATCCCTACGTGTTTCCAGCCCTGACATTGGGCTCTCTGTGTCTGTGTGCAATACATGGAGTCATAAGAATGCCTTTCATGGGCTATGACAGGATGAAATAATCTTGGCAAGCAAAGTCTGCATGGAAATCAGCAGAAATGAAAGTAAAGATTCACACTGAGGTACAGAACTATTGAATTCAGCACAGAAATGCTTACGCCCAGAGCATCACTGACCCAAAAGAACTCCGGAAGATAAACTGCCAGATTCCACACATCGACCCAGATGACTAACACCTCTTCACTCAGTCATCTGTAGGCTAAAACACTATTTACTATGGATGAAGATAATAAATGGGGCTCCAAATTAGTGTCAGGCAAAGAAGCAAGTACACAGCGTTTGTTCTTTTAACATCCTGAAGGAAGGAGAGCAATATGCAGCAGCATTTCCTCTAGCATTATAGTCCTCTGACAGGAAGTGACCGTAATTAATGCTTCTTCATTAGTATTTTTAAAAAGACACAATAGGAATCCTTCTACTTACACATTGTCTGTATATCTACCACTTTACCTTCATCATCTGTTTCTCTTCTTCAGTGCATGTTTTCATAATCTTATCCCCGGATTTAACAAGTTCATCTATAGCATCTTTGTGCCTTAAAATCTCCATGGTAAAAGCCTTGAAACACAATAAAAACTGGTTAGAATAATAATTAAAGAAAAAAAAAAGTATTTGGAGCAAAAACTGGTTTTGAAGTGCATTAATTATGATGGACTGAAAATTAAATCATGCCAGTACATTTTCTAGATGGAGAGTGTGCTGGCCAATAATTAAAATGACAGTTGGAAATGCATTTCTTTTACCTTTTGAACTTGCAGCTGAGCAGTGGTCTGGTCTTGCTCAAGCCTAATATCACCCAGAGACATCAGTTTCTTTTCTGTTTCTGCAATCCAGGCAAATTCAGCATCAGCTGCTTGATCAAACTAAGTGAGGGAGCCAAGAATTAGTTCAGCAGTTCTACAGACATGAAATTAGAATAACAGTTTCAAAAATTTCAAAGAAGATTAAACAAAAAAAGAAGATTTTAAAGAAGATTTTAGAAAGATAGCAGCTCAATTTCCATTTGAGGTTTTTTTATATAAATGAAATACAATGCCCAAAATGGTTCTGAGGGATTGTAATACAAGCAGCTTAATTCATAAGCATGACAAAGCAACAGAAGCAAATACTTCTTTCCAGAGCCTACAGCTCTCTATCAGTCGAAACAAAATAAAAAAGGATTATAATCTCAGAGTTTTAACTGGACTGCCTGTTTTTATTTTATTCTACTTTTGCATCTCTGTGTTTATTATCACTGCTAGTGTTGCAATTACCCTGAGACACAGTTGTTTGATGTTACCCTACTAATCTGAAGAGCTGCTTTGGTATTAAATGATCAAGGCAAAACAATCACAGTTGAATTAAGTTAGCGCAAAAACCTCACCAAATTTAGAGCAGAATTTCATCCAAATCTAGGCCACAGATTAAATGCAAAAGGGTTTTTTTTTTGAGCATTTGGATACAGCCAGTCCTTTTCCTAAAAGGACTCATTTCTCACTACAATTATTCAACATTTAAGTGTTTCAGAAATTTCCTGAAAGCACTAATGTAATGATAGGACCTGTTTCTTACTAATCGGCAAAGAAAAGCATGAAAAGAAGAATGTGGGATTCTAAGTCTTCTGAAATGTGAGACCAAATTAAAAAACAATAAATCATACATTCTCTCTTCTGATCAAGTTTATAGGCATGCATCTTAGCACACACATTGCAATACTCAATCAGGGCAGCTTTGAGCCTAAGCCATAGGAAAAATATTATATGGGATGTATCAGATGCACATTATAGAACCTATTAAGAATTTATTTACTGAATTTGTTAAAACTCTGCCCCCTCTCCAAAATTAACTGAACCTTTATATAGCCATGAGTTATTGTGAAAATCTGTCAGGTTGTCAGGCACTTTTAACATGTAATAAAACCTGCTATTTGTGTTGTTGATGCCCACACTTTCCTTAGAAATCTTCTGAACACTGTCAGTCCCACTTGCCTTTAAAATATGTTGATCTGTGCCTTTATGGCTGTAGTCCATAACAGCCCTGTTCCCTAATATAACTGGAACTGACTTTAGTCACTAACTCAGACTTTTCTTGGTGGTTAATCATGAGTCCCACAACATGAAAGAAACAGTTTTTATAATCCATTTGTTACATGAAAGGGCAGAACATTATTTTTCACTATATGTCATTTCTCATTTAAAATAACGGAAAGTAAGACTTATCCTAAATATTGTGACATCCTACTAGAAAGGTATGTTCTGAAATAATCAGTACTGTAAACATTAGCATGAAGCACATGCACCCGTGGTAGTTAAACCCTGGCTTTAGAAACTGCAGTTCACAACCAATGTTTTCAGAAGCCCATCTATTTAAGACAGAAATTAAGAAGATGGTTTCAAATGTGTTAGATGTACAAACTAACTGCAGTGTGACTTCCTGATACCAAATATTCATGGGTATGTAAGTAATACTGAGGAAATAGTTAATGGAAATTACAAAATCAAGGCATGGCACTGAAACTTCTAAGTTAAATAGCATCGAGGAAGGGAAGAACTCTAAATTCAATTTGCTGAAAGTACAGGATTTCCAATTTGTGATGCTTAAAAAAAAAATAAGGAATAAAAAGCATAAAATTGGCACTCTCTGCATTCAAAATTTGAAATGTTTTCTTCCCATTATACATGGCAGTTACTTATGAGCCCTGGGCTACACTTTGAGTTGCTATAAAATCGTCTACTTAATCCCCATCCAGTTTAACCAAGCATAGTTCATTGCAGTACATTTTCTTCTGATCAGGAATGATTGACTTCTGAATATGATGATGCTGTGATTTTCTCCATGAATGATTTCTAAAGCACTCTGTGGCTGCTTTAGAGTGAAGAACAAGCCCAAAGTAGAGTATGACCTTGTGTTTCTACACACTAGAGGACCCCACCAAGGCTTTCAGTCTTGAGAAATGATGACTAAACTATGCATCTGAATTTGTCTCTATTATCAGCCTGAGACCATTTTACCCAGGTAGTTAAAAATCCTGGGCATTGCATTTGTCTATTATTCTTCCAGCTTCCATTCACAACGTGAAGCTATTCTGCCTAATCATCTGTGTTTCTTGCTGCATTCCTCACCTTGGTCCAGGAACATCTTGCACAAAACCCAAGCTTACTCCTACCAAAGCCTTGTATTCTCAGCAGCTTTGTCCTCCACCCAAAACTTCTTAACACTATAGGCACTTCAACAAGTTGCCACAGAGCAAACTTAAAGAGCACTAATTTCTCCAAAAATGCTTTTTATTTTGCACAGCTAAATGGGAAGTATCTTATCCTTTACTGGAAGCACATTAAGCCACCTGAAACTTATCACAGGACATAGCATATAGGAGTTTATTGTGATGATGTGGGCTGGCCAAAGTGGAGGTTGGGGGTATGCAGGATGAGAGTGCAACAGGCCCTTGCAACATTAGCTAGTGGAATAGCAGCTCTGGGCTTTTCATGCCTGGACCTGAAACTGCACAGCTTATGCTAGAGGATGCAACATAGTCATGGAATTCAGAAAATCTGAAAGAGGGCCAATATATAATCTCCTATCTCACCTTATCACTCATTTAAAAAAAAAAGAAAATAAAAATCACCCTTCATTTTTGAGGATTAGGTTAACAAGTCAAGAAAATAATTGGCAAACCCCTTAAAAAGAAACCTGTAGTTATTTTTAGGCTCACTTAGAAGAAAATCTGAATTACTGCCTGTTTCCTTTTAGTCAGCTTTTAGCAAATTTTGAAATTATCACCCATGCTTTCTCCTTGTCCTGTTACAACAGTTTGTGGGAACTATACAGCAAAAGGAGAAATCTCCACTAATATTTTTATGCCTGAACTGGAAAACTGTGTTTCCACACTGCATTTATAAACTGGCTTAAATATGAGACTACTTAGTAACAAAATTAGAGCCCAGTTCTCAAAGTGCATCCTTATATACTTCTGTGCATGTATAGAAACCTCCACATATTAAATAACTCGGGTTTTGAGCCCCAAGAAGTATTGTTGATACTAATAAAAGCAAGTGTTATTTAAATCCTCCACTACAGCTTGAACAAAGCCATCTAGCTTTTAATTTTCTGATGTGCAGAGTAGCTGGACAATCAACTGGTGCTAAAAGGTGTGGCCAACCTAGCAATATCAGTGCCACATCCAGAAAAGGTGGCTCAGGATCTTGGAGCATATTTTACTTAACACAATATGATGCACAAGAGATGTGGGCCATTCAGTTCTTAAGCAAACTCTGACTTAAGGAGCCACAGGATAGTAACAGCAATTTTAGCTAAAATATTGCTGTTTGCATCAACAAAAAGGGAGACAACAACAACAGAGTACAGATTAACAGATTTCTGGCATTCATATTTTAATGCTGGAGTCCCATTTCATTCAAATGGGCTTTTTGCTGCTCAAGGATAACAAACTTTTGGCAACATTATTACAGGACAGCTTTTGTTCAAGTACATGTTGCAGGGACTGTTACTTTCCAAAGAACAGTTTTCAGTACCTGCTGGGATCTCAGGATGGCAGCATCAATCTCATCCACCTTCTGAGAGATCGTGTCACTCACTAATCTGTAACGTTCGTTGTCCTCTGTTATCATCTTGTCCAGCCCCTCTCTGGCCCTCCATGGCACCAGCTCCAGGAAGGCACTGCCAACTTCATTCAGAGTGTCCACTAAGCCTTTGTTGTCCTTTGCTTCTTTTTTCAGCTCCTGTAAAAGGCCATTTTAAACAAACCATTTAAATGTGGCAGTATATGAACAGAACATACAAAATTTTCAGTTTTTTCGTTCTTTAAACTAATCCACAAGTCCAGAACTGAAATGTTTTCCACACAAACCAAAGGGCTAAGTTAGAATACTTATTTTCAGCTAAACTGTATTAGCTTTTCAATACTGTAAGTTGTTTGACAGAAAGGTAGGTGATTCTTCAGAGAATTTTCCACAGAATCTAACCTAAATATATTTCTCCATTCAGTATGACTATCTTAAAATTTTCTAAGAATTGTTAGTACTTCATGAAGCATCCAAAGAAAATAAAACTAATGGATGGTTGTGAACTGCAACTCCATAATGAAGTCATCAGCAATGGAAATCAGCATGCAATACAGCAAAATATGATGAATTCAAATGATTTCTGCAATGACTGGATTAAATTTCAAGCACATATTCACACAAAGGAACGAGATTTTACCTGTACAGAACTCCCCATCTATTAAAGAAATTGAATAGAATTTTTTTAAGCTTCCACCCTCAGCATTTTCCATACCACGCAGCTTACACATTTTTTCTTTTGAAATGAACCTTGTTAAATAAAATTAGTAATATATGTTTAAAATGCACTTTTAAACATGTATTTATATGTTTAAAAGTGCATTTTACAGGATTTTATCCATTCCACAGCTAAAGAACTAAAATAACTTTGTTTGATAGTTTATGAAGTTTCCCAGTCTTAGGTAACTACATGAACGAAACAAAAATGCTGTGCTTCTCTTGTGCTAAAAACAAAACTCAGCCTAATTTCATAAGTGATTATAACAGATGACTCTGGAAAAAGAGTTTGATTCTTAAGTACTGTTACATTTAGTGAAATTATCTGGATGCAAAACTAGTTATTCAAAAAATTACTTCATATCAAGCATAAATTAACACAAAATGTCACCGAATCACAGAACAGTAAATATATCACAGGTTCTAAAACCTACTTTTTGTCTTTCTTGTACTTGGCTTAATTCTTCACCCTTTGGTGTCTGTGTTTCATATGAGAGTAACTCCATCTCTACTTCATCAAGCCATTTGCAGAGTTTCTCATGAGTTGAGTGCAGTTGGCCTGCAAGCTGCAGTGCCTGCTCTAAAGTCTTGGATACATCAGAACTTAATTTTGTAATGTCTTTGTATCTTGCTTTAATGCCTTCCAGTTTATCTTGAACAATTACAACTTCATCACCTAAAATATTAAAGGAATGTTATTTCCCATGATCACAAATATTAAAAATAAAGAAACCAAAACAAAACCACAACAACAGAAAACCTAAATTCCCAAACTCCACATATTACAGAAACCTCGATATTTAATACATAAAATAACCCAAACAAGACAAGACCAATCCTCAACTGCTGTAAATTATCCTACCATCTCTAAAGCCCACAGAGCTACGAAGTTTACCTCAGTTCAGCATCAGTCCTTCTTTTTTTCTGCTTTACTAAACTATTACAAAGTAAGGAGTTAAATCCAATTTTAAACAGAAATATTCTTATAAAATAAAAAATTCACCCTTAAATTCACAATACTTCTTATAAAGGCCAAATAAAAGTTATAAAAGTGTTACTGAAAATGTAAAGAACAAAAAAAAAAATCTACACATTACTAACTAGACCTTCAATTACAGTAGATTTTGACATCACAGTTCACACTCGTTGTCCATTTCAAACAACATAAAAGGCTAAAAGAAAAACAATACATTGAAATTTATAAGCCACAATATTAGAAATGTTCAGATTTCATCATAGAATATGTGTAATGTCAAAGTTTGGAACAGAAGAGGATAATGTCACCCTGGACAAACATATGTCAAAGGGTTCAAGAACTTTACAAGTACTGGAAAATTTGGACAGATGTTCTACAGAAGGAACACATTGTATAGAACTGGAATGCAACTTTTCCCACAGTATTAGTTCCCATGGCCGAAGCTTTTCCCTTGCAGTAATAGGTAGGCTAGTATCTTGTTCATCTGTGGATGCCTGCAGGGAATTTATTGTGTCCACTGCCAAACAGCCCTCCAGTATGAGTAATGTCCATAACTCGCTATTAGGAATGGAATGCAGGTTCACTAAAATAATTTTCCACTAAAATAATAAAGGGATTCAAGGGCTAAATTCTCTACAGGCAAAAAAGGCCTTTTGCTCACTTACATTAAAAGTAAAATTGGCCCCAAAACATAACCCAGGCTTGACCTTAAACCTTATTAAAATAAACAACTATGATTGCTTTAACCAGTAAATATGAACCATATTTACAAGTTTCACTTTAATTTTCCTAGGCACCTACAAGAAAAAAAGTATGACAAATTATAGTTTTATGTAAGTTCTCACCTGTTGTTTGCTTGAGAAGCTCTAAGCCATTTTGTATAGCCAAATCAACATTTTGTTTTCTAAGAAGAATCTCTTCTTGAAGATCCTATGAATAAAGGTCATTTACATTAGCACAGACCTAAAAAAATGTATTATTTTTATTTAGAATAAGCATACGGACATTTTAAACAAAATATATCAATGAAAATAAATGATGCATGGGAATATAAATCAAAATAAAAACATGAATTAAATAAGAAATGAACAGAAATCAAAATACCAGTAGTTCAGAGTGCTGTTTCTCAAGCAATTCTGTGTTGCAATCTTGGACTGACAATTTGTTCAGTTTATCATGGATTTCATTCAGCCAGTTCATCAATTCAACTTCGTCCTCCCCAAAAATCTGAGCATTGCTGTAAGCTTGCTGGAGAAGTTCAGACCTGCTGTTGCTCCTCTCTTGAACTTCAATGTATCGTGCCTGAGCAGAATCTAGCTTTTCCTGCACCATATCTTTATCTTCCCTGGAGCTCATAGTCTTTAGAGACTGGCCAGCGCTAATGGCCTGATGTAAACTCTTATTGTGAGCTAGGACATCATCTTCTAGGGCCTATATTTTATTTTAAATAATGAAGAATAATGGAAAAGAAAATCAGAAAAACATAAAATAAAATTGAGTGAAACTAAATAAAAGTTGAACAAAAAAGGACATATTGCCAACATAAATATATAAAACTTAAATTACAGGGGGGAAAAAATGAAACAGTATGGTAAAATGAGTACAGTGCAACAGCTTTGCCAGTTGTGTCGTGCTTTACAGAAGCATCTAAAAAGAATAACCACAGCAAGTGAGTGGTTTGTATCTTACTCTATGCTGAGAAATCTGCTGCTGCAGTTTGGAGGCCTGTGTTCCAATAGGTTCTGCATTTGCAAGCCTCTTCTCTGTGGTTGTCAGCCACTCCACCAGTGGCTCCAGAGCTTCGTGGAACTGCTGTGCTACCACCGAGATGCCTTCCAGCTGACGGTTCCTACCAACACACCCAGGGAATGGTTACCTCTTGTGGTGAAGTAAGTGTCAAACACTTATAATAAAGAAAGAAGTGCCTTGAATCCTTTGAAAAACACCCCAGAAATAATTCAATCTCATTGTAGGAACTAGTCACCAAATTAAACATATATCCATGATACTTACTGAAAAAGAAGGTAAAGTAGAAATCAAATAAAATTAAACACAAACAAACACCTCCAAGGCATTTGGCTAATATACCAGTTTCGAAAATAAAAATAATATCACTTTATTCATATACTTTTTACTAAAAATAATCTAGCACTCAATTCAGCAAAACATTGTTTTATACCCAGTTAAGATTGTTCTCAAGTTTCTAGCTGTCTTAAAGCATAAAGTTACATTCCCTTGACTATTATACATGTTTTAAAGTTAGGCAAAGGCTTTACACTGTCATGCTTCGTCAATGTTGTAAAATACCTTTAAACATTTTCTCAATGATGACAACTGAATTATTTGGTACTAAATTTGCATCTCTTGTCCTGGATAAAAGCTCTCAATGAAGTTAGTGAGACAACATTAATAAAGCACAGAGACTTGACCTCCAAAACAGAAAAGCAGTATCTAAAACATTTCTGTTTCAGATCATTACACGTCAGAGAAGACTCTCGATTACAGCAAAGTTTTCTCTACAAGCAGTGCTGAACAAATGTCATTCAATCAGACTTTTAGGAGAGATTTGTTCTACGTGAAAACACCACAATAACATCTTTCAAATGAGGATCTTGTTCCAAATAAAAGCTATATTTATATGTGCTTTCCAGGGCTTATAAACAAGGTAGACTTGACATACTTAGCCATGGAACACTCTGTGGGGTACTCTACATAGCTTACAAAATCACCCTCAAATTCCTTCTTCATTTCTAGAGACCAGCCAAAGGAAAATGGAGACAAGCTTGCAGCTAATGGATGGCTTGGAAAAAGCTGCAATTTCATTTGTAATTAGATATCACCAGACTGGGAGGATATTATTAAATTAAACATGACATTAACATTTACCCCAGCTAATGAGTCAGATTCCTTCAATGAAAAAGAAAACAAAAAAGGAAAAGGAAAAAAAAAAAAAGGAAATAATGGTCTATTAGTGGTTGACTAATTAAATAATCCTATTATTACTATGAGGTAACAAAACAGGTTCAGCTAAAGAGAGGCTACCAGAAGGAATAGAAGACAGCAGAGATGAGGTGAGTTCAATGCTACTTTAAGTAACAACACAACCATTTGTTCTTCACTGTAAAGCTTCACTGTGCACTTTAAATTTTTCTTCAGCTTTCCAAGTCCTCTCTTGCTCTTAATTATAGGCCTTTTTCCAAGCTATATCTCATGCACTCTTCTCTCTACTCTAAAAAAGACTGTCCTTCTTAAATCTCCACCCAGTAAACATGTTCTGTAACCCTTTCCACGCAGATTTCTCCAGACACTTTACAGTTAATAATTTTACAGGTATTTTATACATTGACAACAACTCATAAATGTAAGTCTGTGTTTACACAGGTACAGTGTGCATGGATTTTGTTTGATTTTTTTCAATTGGAACTTGAAGTGGACCTCAATGTCATTTAACAGATAGGGTTTTCTGTGATGCTAGAATACATATATCTATATACATTAAAGGTCCTTTTTTTTCCTTGAAAACTAAGCACCTTGCATGCACCTGCAACTGATGATGACTTCTAAGTTGCAGAAACAAATTGTGTAGATGATATATATATATTAAAAAAAAAAAAAGGAAATAATTGAGTGTCCCTTCTTTGTAGCAGCAGTCCAGGACTTCGAAGTTCCAACAGAATATCATTATTGTTTGTTAGATGTAAATTTGCACTTGATTCTATTGCAAAACAGGTTCTTGACTGACTACATTTGCATTCTAATTAATTAACAGAGATAAAATATTCAGAAGATGCATATGTAGTTAATCCTAGAAGATTATCACACCTTAGACTAAACATTTTTTGAAGAGCTTTTGGTCTCCCCTCAGGTCACTTTTCTTCACTTTTCCCTTGGAGGACCCAGTACATCAAGACACTGAGACATAATGCAATCAAAAGCATGATAATACTTCACAGTATAGAGTTCCACATGCTGCTTCTCAACATCTATCACACTCTATGTCTGCACTTTTCAAAGACATGAAAGAATTTCAAGTACCTTGTTTCAGCTTTACTGAGCAAGGCATCCCATCGACTATCCAGGAAACTCAACTGTTTCAGGATTTTCACTCTATCAGCAGGCTCTGCTGACTCCGCAATTTTCTCCCCTTCGCGCTTGATTGCCTCCACAGTAGGCTTGCGGTCATCCAGCAGCCTCTGGAGAAGCTATAGGGAAAGCAATCAAGCACCAGGTTATCAAGAAATATTGCAATAATGCAAATGTAACAACAGTAGATTTCTTGAAAAGCCATTAAAACAAAACAAAACAAAAACAAACAAAAAACCAAAAAAAAAAACCCCAAAACTAAACCACAATGCCTATATTGTGATAAAAATTTGAAGAAAGCTAATCAAAGAGACACACATAACACACACTTCACAACCCTTTCCCTGACCAACACAGGCTCATTTTAGTTTCTCAACTGTTTTCCTAAGAACACTGGAGGTTCATGAAGCTCAAACAACAGCCCTGGTTTCTCTGAGGTAACCCAAAAAGTGAACACATAGAGGAAAAAGTTCTGCCTAACACCCTTGAAGGAATGCAGCTACTCAGAACTAAGTTACATTTTATAGGAACATTTATGAGCAAACTGCATGCCCCTCCAGATTTGGCATCACAGAGGTAATTTGGATACATAGAGGGATGGGAAAATAGATACTAAAACTATTGTATAATCAACCCATCACTTATATGAGATACAACTGAGTTCATCAATCTAGTGTAGCACGTTAACTTCTCTGTGAAGAATAAAATGTGCCCCTGTCTACAATGCTCCCTTCCTCCATCCCCTAGGTATCTTTGGTAACATTAACATTTTGCCACAGCAGTATCCCAAGACAACAACCTGTACTGCCCATAATTTTATATTAAATCCTTGGGTGGCAGTGTACCACACAGTCTAACTGCATGAATTGTATGTTTCATCAGCTACATTACCTTTTTTTTAATATAACCACTATTAAAATATGCCAAAGCTGATGACACTGATAGAGTTCGTACATTAGCACAGGCCACTTCCCAATGGGATTCCAACTAATTACCAACAATGATCACATGAAAGTCAAGAGCCAAGTATTGAAGTCTGTAATCTGCAATCCTATCGTGGTAGTACAGTACCAGGTAGAGTGAAAAATTACTAAGTTTTGTTTCCTACCTTTCAAATGGCCAGATACTGAATTTTATGCTCTTTTTCCAATGGATCTTTAACATCCTTTCCAGATAAGGCCAATAAGTCTAACCAGAGTTGAGATTGCACAATATCACTCTGTCTTATATCCAGGAAGATGAGCACTTCTCCCAAGCCTGGACAAAGTTTTGAGTTTTGAACAGATGGCTCCTTTAAACACCTCAGCACACCCCAGTGTACTATAATACTCTTGAACAGATATTATGCTTTGCCAAAGACTGAGAATTTATTCTCACTGATCCAGTGGATGCAGAGAGATTCTAAAACCATTTCACTTACCTTCTGTTCTTGTATTTGGGCCTTGACAACTTTGAATTCAGCAGATGGTGGTTTCTGATTAGCCACAAGATCTTCTGTATCAATGAGCCAGCTAAGCAGAGATTCAAGGGCATCCTGAAATCTCCCACAGTGGAGGAGAGCTTCCTGCAATTGTGCAGCACGCTGAGCAACCTGAAAAAACAGCAGAGGATCTCACCTATTCATTTTATTTCTGTGAAATAATTAGTCAAAATCTGTAGAACATCTGTCAATATTGCTAATAAATACTCTTGCTTTTGTAACTATTCATAACAGCACTATGTCACAATTTAGCATGAATCTCTTGGGGCTGGAGACATCCAATGAAAAGAATAGACTTCCTCCCAGTAAATCAGCCTGCTGTAGTAATTCCTTACAAGCTACTCCTGCTTTATATAGCTACAGTGTTATGAAATATACTGATGGGATGTTTGCATTTCAGATGGTCTTTATTTTACTTACAGAAAGAATGAGCCAGGATCTCAAAGCAGCAGCTCTTAATAAGGCCCAATAATCAATGTCATCAATGACAAATAGGAAAGGAGAAGGCAAATATGTGAACTGCAGATGTCTCTGGTTCTGCTGCATCACTCTTTCAGGAAGAGCGCAGAAGAGGATGAACACCATTTTTACTCCCCACCCTTTCCATTTTCCAACAGCAGCTACTGCTGAAGGAAGACTTGAAAAAGCACAGAAATACAGCTGGTTTTTCAAAGTGGTACTTTCTGATGCCTCAAGCAATACAATCCTTAAGGTGCTCTAAAGGAAACATTCCACAGTCACACAAAGCTGGGCTGTACCATTGCGCTGTGCACTGTGCAGGTACAACAGTGTGGGCATGAGCAAATAAAACAAAGTGGAAAAACAGGCAAACAATGACTCAAAGTGGAACTGGATCTCCAGGGACCCCTTCCAACCCCAACTCAATTTCATGAGTCTATGAGGCTTTCTTGAATAAAAATCCAAAGACAAACCTAGGGAAAGTTTGGCAAAACCTTATAAATTGCAGCAATACCTCTGGCTATTAGCAATATAAATCTTATCCTTAGAATTACAAAAAAAGTGACTGTGTAAAGCAAATATAATTCATATTCTTACTGAATATTTAATTTCCTGTGTTTGGAAAGACATCAGTGAGCAAACAATCAAAAGGCAGAACCCAACAAAAGCAGGATAGTACACAAGATAATAACCTTCTTATTAAGAGTCTTCCATCGGGTGTTGACATCTTCAAGGTCGTGTTCAAGGTTTTCTGTGTTGGTACTTTTAGCAGCACTCTGAATAAGGCCCTGACCCAACCAATTTACTTCCTGTTGTTTGACTTGCAAAGGTTCAATTTCTTCTTTCTGGAATACCTGCAGTTGAAACCCAAGACAGACATGAAACATGGTAACTTCTGCCATAAAATGCATCTGGTGTTTACATGACAGTATGCAACAAAAACATTGCTTAAAACTGGTGTATAGAAGAAAGGAAGCCATTCCTTGTTAGGACCTTCCTAAAAAAGCATTAATAAATCTAAACAGAATAGATTAAATCTAAACAGAGTAAATTCAATACATCATAGAAGGGGAAATGACATACATTTCCATGAGTAGTCTTAGGAAGGAAAGGGACAGAGAAAAAGAGAGGTAGTGGAAGTTTTAGGAGGTGAAAAAAATAAAACTTCTGGAGAAACTCATCTCTTTGATTACCTGTCTATAAAATCTAAGAACGGCACAGATCAAGAGAGATAGGTGGGTATTTTTTCCAAATTAGCACCAAAGCCAAAGTTTCAAGTCAAAGAAACAGCAAAGGAATAGATATTTTAAAATCGGTTTAGGAGATTACAATGTTAACAAATGAGGAAGAGGAACTACAGATGCTGTTGAAACAGTATCCCGGCAGACACCCAGGAAAATGGGCTTTCATTCAAAGGATACTCTTGCAAATTGCCAAGGCTTTGACCCTGCCCAACAGCAGTTTGAGCAGTTCTGTGTTTGCTTTATTTTACTCTTGCAGGTATTTAGGCTTTTTCAGAGCCAGATTATTACCATTAGCAACAGTAATGTAAATCTCCATTTGTATTCAGCAGCATTAAGCTGCACTGACACAAGTGTCAATGAGATCAGAAAATGGCCTGAAGCCCCTGAATTAATTACACAGGCCAGTGAAAAATAACCAATGAATAAACAATGCTAAAGAATGCTCAACTTTTGACCCTAAATCCTTCAATTTCTATAGCAGCATTCAGTAACAGTTTTGGTGTACACTTAGTGCATTCAAAGCAACCTTTCTCAGCATCCTGAAAAGCAGAGATCACTCTGAATGTACCAGCAACTCTCCTCTTTTGCACCAAACACACTGTGGCAAGTGACTGCTTTTAAAGAGGCAGACCTCAGGTGGCTAAGCACACTTCCACCAGCTTGACAAGTTAATCTACAAGCTACAGCAAATACACTAAACATGAGAGGTAAAATAAATTTAGCATCCCTAAGAGACTTGTTCCTACAGACAAAAAAAAAGCCTAAAAACTCTTAAGACTGTGGCAACATGAAAACTGAGAGCATGCAATGAGTTGGCTGCTCCTAGAAGAAGGAAAATGCTTGTGTTTTTGACTGTAGGGTAAGGAGGAGGCAGAATAATATTTCAACACAGAATCAATAACAAATTCTTCTTTTATGTGCCATAAAGTCTCATCTTTTGAGAACAACGTCCTACCACAGAGGGGACTGATCTCCATAATCTGCCCTTTAAAAATGCACACATTCTTTGTGGAGAGAAGTTTAAAATAAATTACAATTATTGCTGAGGCCAAAGTTTACCAGAACAACTTAGCAACAAAGCTTGAAGTATCTCAGATTTCAACCAGAGTGGGAAGAAAAAAATTACAGACCTGACAAACACCCTTTCCTTATTACAAAGCTTCCCTTACCCTCTTACCTCATCCACCACTCACAAAGCACTGCAAGATCCTGTGCTTGTAAAATACTACCGTAACTTCAGATCTGCCTTCTGGCACGCAAATGCAAAAGGCATCTTTCAGAAGAGGCGGTGAGCCTTTAATCTGCCTGCTTTGGAAAACACAGCCATCTGATACTGTTGCTTACACCTTGATGAGTAAGGCTGCTCAGGCTGAGCACACGGGCGGTAGCTGCCCTTGAATGGCATTGCCGGCGCAGACACCGGGCACCAACACGGGCACGGAGGAGGCATTCCACGTCCGGAGTAACAGGCACCAGCTGGGCAACAACCCGGCTCAAAACAGCCGGAGTAATAATCACCCCCCGACTTTGCCCCCAGTTCATTTCCCATACTATTTCACCTATTTTGGACACCCCTTGTGCGCTATGCAAATGATACTGATCACTGCATCTGCCTAATTAATATTTTTTTTTAAGTTACGTTTTTGCAATAATGGCAAAACTTACGAGTTTTAAACAAGTATCTTTACGGATATTACATAATTATCTCACAAACCTATGGATTTTTTATTTTTTTTAATTACCTTGTTAGACAAGAGGCCATTGCAGACTGTATCCAAGGTGTCTTGGATGCCAGTAGTCCAGATATTGCCTTTATTGCTCTCTGGGAAAACTTTTGGGCAGTTTACAGTACTATCTAAATCAAACTGTCGAACAGAAAATGCCACTTCGTTTGAGCCTGTACATGCTACACTGCATTCCTCTGTATCAGATAAAATTTCATATTTTGCAAAATCCAAGTCACTAGTATTTACAGCAGCATTAGTGTAATAAACATCTACATGAGGAGATACATCATCCATATAATCTTCCTCTACCATTGTGACTCGTATTTTAGTTTTTTCATGAACTTCATATGCATTTTCCACTTCACTTTTGTCAGGGGTAATACTTCTTCCATCACCTTGAAGGGGATCTTCATGTGTCAGAATTTTCTCTTTGAAACCCTGTAAGTGAGAGCATTTCCCCTCCATCTCTTCCTGATCACTCTCACATGTCTGGGCATTGCTTTGTTTTACTTTTCCAGAGGGTAAAATGTCATGCAAAGCCAGTCTGCAGTTTTCTTTGACAGGGACACTCATGCTTGCAAGCAGTGGGGTTTGCTGCTCTCTGCAAATTGCTGGGATATGTGGTCTGAACTGACCTACTACTTGGATATCTTCTGCAGAAGACAGACTTTGTATTTGAGTTTGCTCCCCTGCTAATGGTGTGTCTTGTTTATCTTCCCTTTCTGTTGGAGGGCTGCATAAACCAGAATCATCCTCTTCCGAGGTAAGAGAATTTGTACCCCATTCGCATTTGCCTAGTGTAGCTGCCTCTGACAGATCAGCAGTTTCATTAAAGGAGCTTTCACTTCTATTAGTGTAATCTGGAAAGCTGGGTGGAACAAGCATTCTCCACGATCGTCTGTGCTCCTTCTTTTCGGTGTGAGACTTTGCTTTGGGTAACCCAGCTGTCCGAATTATATCACTGTTCAGTTTAAGAGCATCAAAGATCATTTTTTCATCTAACTTGTTAGCTTCACGGCTTCGGAGCTCAAAAACACTGGAAGAAGTAAGGGCACCATTGGAGCACAAAGTACTGATGTCCAGTGTTCTGTGACTGTAGGGTAGGGTCCGGTCTGTGAAATGCCTCGAAGAGAGGCTGCCCTTGGAGCCTGAGTCAATCTGTTCATTCAGCCGCACAGTGTCATAGATAGACCTCTGGGGAACATAGCAGTCTTCAATATTTAGATCTTCATCTTCTTCCCCTTTGCCAACACATGGAGGATTCTGACGTAGACAATCTGGCCTGCTAAGTGGCTTCCCCATGTTGAAAGTATTCACACAAGTATACCTCTGTTTTCACAGATTCAGGGCAAACATAAGAAATAGTAAACTTGCCCTTAGCATAAGATGCATAGATACAAAAATATACATCATAAGATATGAAGTGGCTGAGGTCATTAATAATCAGTGCATCTCTTAAAATTTTACTTTACCTGGATATGAAGTTTCCCACCCCCCGAAATATAAAGTGCTTCAGTAAGAAAGTAACAGAAATGTCCCAATATCCCAGAAAAACAAATTATAGCAGAAACCAGCAGCAGCCAAATATGTCAAACATTCAGAGGAAGGCTTCATTTATTCCTCCAGGTCAGAATCTGTATCTCCCAAATAAGCCTTCAAATGGACAAGTGTTACAGAAGGCAGTACATTATCTTCTGTACATGACTGCTTAACTGTAATCCATTTAGCTGGCTTGCAGGGTCCCATCTCCTTTATAAATAAAACATGCTGTGGCAGCTTAAAAAGACAAAATCCACAGGATGGTTGTATGGTCCTGACCAAGGCACGGAGAAAATCCTGGGGTGTGGGGGGAAATAAGTTAAATCCAGAACAGTAAGAATAATAAAACAGCCCTTTACTTTTTTGGCAGTAGCTATAAATAACCTTGATCTGAAAGGCAGCTTATCCTCCTCTTGTAACAGGCTTTTTCGTGGTGCCTCCACCAGTCCCACAGGAAAACATCACTTTCTAGCAGCCAAGCCAACGCGTCCTTTGAGCAGACGGTCGGAAGACGAATGTTTCAGACCGATTCTCCCGATGCCATCCTGGAGAGATCTTTAAGGCAGCTGCAGAGCCGAGCGAGCGTGGCGCGTTCCCCGAAGGCACGGCAGGTTTACATTCGGCAGGTCCCGACTACAAGCTGCAGCTAGCGGGCTGCGCTCGCCTCCTCCTCATTTCTGAGGCGCAGCTGCCGAGGAGCCGAGGGAGGGAGGCAGGGAAACCCCCGCCGTGCAGCGCCGGCGCGTCCCGCCCGGCGCCCCGGCTCGCCCCGCTCCAGCCGCCGGCACCGCCCCGCTTCGCTCTTCAGCAAACATCAGCTCCCGGCCCGCCCGCGCCCGCAGCGCCGCTCTGGGGCTCCCCCCGGGGCTCCCCTCCCTCCAGCCCTCCCCGCCGCCCCCTTATCTCCTCAGCCGCCCGCGCCTTGGCTTGTCGCTCGGTGCCGCGCAGGGCGCTGGCGAGGGCAGGCGGCGGGGCCGTGACATCACTGCCGCCCCAGCCCGCTGCTGAGCGCGGGGAGCGGCCGGCACCTTCCCCGACACACCGCTTCAATAGAGCCTTCCTTTCCAAAGTTACGCCGAAACTTTACCTCTGTATTACTTTAAAGAAAAAAAAAAAATAAAAAAAAAATCCGCCAAACTCGCCTAGTGTTTAGATTAGCTGCTGGAGTAGTCGAACATTGCTCCACCTGACATGCAAAGTGAGATTTTCAGTCCAGTTTTGATTATTTTCAGTCTGGTTACCGGCTCTGAGGCAAGAGCTTAGGGTGGTGTTGGCTGACAGGGGAGCCACTCCTGGAGAACCCAGCTCCCACTGAAAGAAACATTAAAATACTGGGAAAAAAAACCTAACTATATCTGAAAGACTTTTTTTTTTTTTTTTTTTTTTTTTT